TATTAGAACGTTCAACTGTAGAACGCGGTTGCCCGGCAAATACACTCCACCTCCACATACTGCGAAACTTGTCCAAAAAAAAAATATATATATATGGAAGTGCTCTACGATTTTGTGCGGATACGGAATCTACCTCTCATAGCCGTCGACATGCAAATCTGCAGGTTACGACGACGCTTGCGCAATGCCACACTTGGCCGCCGGTTGACACACGCCCTGCATCCAATCTTACTCATACTCGGGTAGCGACAGATAAATATAGAAATAAAAGCGCACGCCCGGTCCCCCAACAAGAAAAATGAAAGAAATAAAAAAAAAAAAAAAGAGAAAGCTTTCTTTAAAGATCGCAGTGTACAGTATAAGGTGGCACCCGACCGAAAAAAAAAAGAGAAATGGCGCGTTTCCATCTTTCCAGGAATGAGGAAAACAGCTGGGTCTGAAAAACGAGGAAGTGTGAAAATCGGAGAGCCCGGAATACTGCGCGCTATCAACTGCCCGACGCAGAAACACGGGCAGGGTGGAAAAGAAGTGACCAAACAACAAAGCGTATATATTAATAAAAAAAAAAAAAAAGATTTTTATTTTTTTACGACATAAAGGAATACAGTATACTTCTGGGATCAGTGATCCGTGATAGCGCGAGTCTCGGTCCTTTACCCGAAAGGGAAAACTATACAACCATTTATCACCCATAGTACTCCCAGCATTTTCGGGGACAAACTGGGAAATAGCACGCATCTTTGTCTCGTTATTATGGACAACTCACATCGTGGTCGATTTCTTTTTTATTTCTTTTTATTTTATTTATTTTTTTTTTTTGGGGGGGGGGGGGGCAGATGTCTCGGTAATATGGACGCGGGCGTCCGTATTAACGAGACATCTGTGTAGCAGCTACTATCACTACAGCTAGTCCTACTTACTAGTGCTAGTAGATTTGCACGACTGGCACGAACATCGCGATCCTGCAATTTTTTCCACGTGCTGACTGATGGTAGTTTTTTTTTTTTTTTTTTGTCCTTTTTTTTCTCGACTGTCTGTATATTTTTAGTTGGACCGTCCCGCCCCCCCCCCCCCCCCCCCCCTTTTTTTTGTTTTCTTCCTTTTTATTTTGCTCGAATGCATGTGTAGTTCAGCTTGTTTAACCTGTTTTGTCAACATTGTATATAGTCGTACTTCTTTGTAATTGATTTTTTTTTTTAACTTTTACGCACCCCTATTGAGCGGGGTAAAGCAAACGGAAAGGTGCGGCCGAACGCAGCGGCAAGAGCGCCAACTTTTATGAGAGCGAACGATGTGGGAGAGCCGATCCCACAGGCTGTTTTTCAATGTACGGCAGTACGGCGCGCTGAAGAGCCTGCCACAATCACGTTGTGATTAACATCGTGGACGGACGTGGCATGAAACATAATGATAGACTGCGCACAACACGGAGAACGTGGCATTTCTATCGGTGAAAAAAGCATGACAGCAAAAAAAAAAAAAAAAAACTACAACAACCATAAAGTTAATGTTTTTTTTTTTTCTTGCTGACAAGTATATTTTACGCCAAAATAAATGCCACAGACAGCCACAATGTATCCTGTTTTAACGATATTAAACTTAAATAAACGTCGAATAAAAAAAAAAACGTGTTTTTTTGGGTTTTTTTTTTGACCCTGGTAACGTTTATGTCTTTGAACTCGCGTTTTATCACCACCACTAGCGCTACATTCTCACGCACTTTTAGGTATTGGAGGAAGGACGCACAAGTTATTTTTCGCATTAGTGAGTAACGTCGAATTCGCTCATTCGTGGCGTTGTAAGCTTTGTAGTTTCCGGGCGATTGATGACGCTTATAATCGACTTTTGCGACCCAAAGAATCAATGTGTTTCTCTGTTGCCGCTAACGAACGTTAAACACAAACAAACACACATTGTGCCCCCAGCCACATAATTTATAGAACGGCTAGGCAGCGCCTAAAAATATACCGGCGGCACCAGCCTCTTCTCGACCGGAAACCACCTCTTTGATGCGATCCAATTTCCTAATATTATAATTAATGGATCCACCGCGCTTTCGCCACAACCAGACGACAAACCGCCGAGGACAGGAAAAATGCAAAAACCAATCAAGAAATCTAAAAATAGGTATTCCTTCTTACCTTATTAAAGGAGCTCTCACAGTTGCCTTCGGCGCATATCATCCACCGTCTAGCAAATTAACGAAAACGAACGACTCGAGCGAGCTACGTCGCTTCCTTACCCAAAACCATCAGTTTTTTGGGTTGTTTGTTTTTTCTTAAGAGGGCGAAGCAACGACTTTTGTACTTTGCGCGAATACCGCTTAGAACGAATCCCTTACGCTAATGATCTGTGAAACACGCGTTCGTTTTTTACCACACGTAATAGAAGTCGCGGAAGAAAAAAGATAATAAAGAAAAACGAGCAGCGTTTATCCCCTCAACTCGCAGCCAGAACAAGAGACCACGTGATCTGGAGCCGATTATATGCCGCCAATGTTGATCATAGCCAAGCGCTGGGGTTGGCAAATCACAGGACACGCGCTGAGGGCCATTGCAAAAGGCTAAAAAGCCTGACAAAGCACTGGATCAAGACATAACTTATAACCTAATAATGAGTTGGGAAATAATTCCATCAAGATTATACGCGCAAAAACAACAACCTCTTCACTCGCAATTTTCGAGGGGAACACAAAAAAAAAAAAAAAAAAAAAAAAAACATCGGTGTGCATTCCACAAGGACCGATTACACACACACGAAACAAACAGAACAGGAAAAACGACTTCAACGCTGCTAATGCATATTGTTGCCCATCTTATGACAATGATAGAGTCCATTCCAACCCCACAAACAATGAGAAAAAAAAAAAGAAAGAAAGAAACAACAACAGCCACTGTTGACTGTGCTTCCATTACTCCATCATGTATGCGCGTGGCGCCATTTAACGGGGTCGTCCCCCATCGCGCATGCGCGGGAATGGGACGCCATTAATGAAGCGCATCGCCCTGTGCATCTCGTCCGGTAATCAGAGCCGGCGATCGGGTGCATCATATAAAAGGTCGTGAAACGAACACACAACTCGAGTACTATTACTATGCACCTGAAGGTTGTGAAGATAGAGCAAAAGTGAAACACAAAATGTCAAATCGTAGGCATAAAATACAATGACAGGCGGAAAATAATGTATTTTCCCCTCCTTTAAATTTTTGGTTTCATTTTAAATGAGCAGACGACACAGCGCCTGCTAATCAACGGACACCATTTTCCCGTTGAAATCCTATTCTTCGAAATCGCTTCTGCCCTTCGAAATAGACAATCCGGGGTTCCGAAACTTTTTGTCATTTTATCCCTACTGCTTGCATTGTGACGGGGTCTGAGCTTCGCTTGACGTGTAAATCATGTAAACTGCGCAAAAAAAAAAAAAAAAAAAGAATTACATTTGTTGGGTAATTTTTGATGTGCCAGCAACGCCTTCACACAACAAAAACCGCTATTACAACTAATGAAAAGCAGCCGATCGATACTGCCAGCAACACCACGTCTAGAAAGACCAGAAAGACACAAATGTGACGTGATGTTGTAGTGGTGGGCATCGCGCAAGCGCAGTGGGACTAGTTGCCATCGAAACTGCGTCTACGCGGATGCCCACAAGTTTGCGCGGAGTTGCCGAACTGTGATGACTATAATATTAGTAATAACAGTAATATTAGTAATACCTAGACTATAAATATTGTAATTGTGGAAGCGTCAAAAACGAAACCTAGACAAAATGCAAGAATCTCCGATTGCAAAGCAGACGATAACCTTATGCAGACGAATAACTCGTCGTCTGCGATTCATTCGGCAACTACCGCGGATATTTCGAGCTCATAAAGGAAGTAAATTAAATTAGAAGGATCAGAGAGGGAAGATGAGGTTGCCCAAATTAAATTAAAACTAGAAAAAAGAGAAAAAAAAAAAAAAAAGCCATTTGAAGTGACGAAGTTTAGAAATAAAAAGCAGACGAACGCAGGATGCCGCGAAGTCAGCAAAAGCTTAGCGGGCCTTGTCAATCGCTTTTTGAGCGCTACCTCAGCACGATTTCGACTCTACAAAGGGATCTTTTGTTGGTGAATAAGGCAGCAAAAGTCTAAAAAAAATTAAACACTTTTCTTTTGTGTGTGTAGTCTGTTTTTTGCGTTTTTCGCTCAAGCGGACGAGCACGCGGGTTCGCGGTCAGTCGCGCGAATGGTCGAACTGGACCGTGAACATTTTCCGAGGATACCCAGTGGCACGCACTCCTCCAAGGAGTCAGTACACCCTACAAACGTGCCAAAAACAAAACAAAAAAAAACGCTTATATACAGGGAAGTGAGTTCCTAAGAACGAAGGTACGAGTCCAATACGAAGTAAATAGCATAAGTGACCTGTTCAACGTAAAGCCTCCTTAAACGAAGTTTGTTTATAACGGTCCGTCAAACAATGGAATTCGTCTCCGAAACGGAGACACCTACACTTTCCGAGAGAAGCTTCGCAGGTTCTGTTGCATACTCAAAAGCTGTCTGTATTCGTAGCTGTTGTAAAGGGCTACACAAAGCGCAGCTAGAAAATGTCACTTTAAATATACAACACAACCGAAACAAATTTGAGATAAACACCACCCGGCATAACATCCGCCTCACTATGACAACACTCAACAAACCACTCGTCTGCCCAAACAGGAGAGACAGACAACTTTGTTGTCAAATCGTTCCTGTTACCATAGGAACAAAAACTTTCATCGAACAACAAACTTTTTTTCCTTCTTTCAGCAATTACAATTAGTAAAACTCTCGTAGCTCAACGGATGCGCCGACGGCCCCAAACAAACACCGCGCATACCGGTCAAAGTTTGTTCCCCCAAAAGGGCGTGGGTATTTGACATGTCAAACCATGTCAACAACCCCACCGGAGACATTTCAAGCTGGCCGCTCAAAAGATCCGGCAGCTCTTCTACGACGAAAGGAAGATATTGAACTGACCCGCGTCCGACGAGCAGCCGAAGCGCATCCAAATGACCGTAGTACGCCGTCCAAATGGTCGGAGTCATGCCATCTTCGTCCGGCGTGTTACAATCCTTGCGCGTCGCTTCTCGGAGAAGATCCAGGTATCCGTCGCGAGCAGCACGGTGAAACTTATCCCGGTGATCCATGCCGACTCGTTGCCGCAGCGTCGGCACGCCGCCAACATCGACGGCGATTTTTGTGGTTTCGACGAGGTCGGCACTGTTAGGCTTAGACACGACTCCGAGCCCACATTCACTCGTCGCACGGCCAACGCGGACCACAACCCAAAAAGCGCTTCCTTTGCGAACAGCGACCAAAAAGCTTCACACGCACACCGGTTGTTACGGGCACGCAGGTGGTTGCTCTCCGCGCTCTCCCAAAGCAGACGAAACGAGTTGACGTCACGGCGAGATGTTGGCCAATCACGGCGCGCGGATGATCCGTCTGCTTGAGCGCGTTCGGGAGTCGCGGGCATCGCGGGCATAATGGACTTCGGCGTCGGGCAGAGTGACTCTCTGCGGATAAATACACGCCGTTGAAGACGTTACGCGAGTGCAAAACCGAAACCGACCGAACGATGCCGCTGTTTGCTTTGATGATTGATCGCGGTCATTCCTTCAGAAGTTTAGAGCCTTTTAATGCTTCCCGCTTGACGTGATCCTCGCTTATAAGTAATTTATGCGACCCCGATTTTGCGTGTCAGTTTTATGGGTAATTACAAAGGTGGTAGCCGTGTTTTATAGCTTTTTACGAGCTTACGATCCCGTCCGCCGAAGGGGCTTGCAACTAAAAATCTAAACCATACCGAAACAAAAGCTTGCTAGTCCTCACACGTGTGGCGCCATCTACAAGCTGTGGTATAAATTGACTCCGTAAGTGTGACGTCATGGGTCCAAACAAACCGTTGCTAGGGTCGTTGTTATGGACAAATACATGTGGCTAGGTTTTGCTACCAAAACCTGACTGTTCAAAAATCAGGAGTAGGATTTAAACTTCTAAAAATCACAGATATAGAAAGCTTGAATGTCATATATGTTTCAACAGAAGTGTGTCAGTAATCGCTTGTTTCTGAAATATTTACGACAGCAACTTCCGGTCCTCAAGGTGCCTGTAGCAGACGACGAATGCAAGTAGTATGCAGTCTGCCACACGCCGGCAGGCCAAGCCGGCGCCGTCGTTTGAATCGTGTGAATAAGGACGATATTCTGATATTGCATTTGTTCTAAATATAATGATTTTCAGTAACTTAAAAGAATTCATAGTGGGGTGCGATGCAAAATATGATTTATCGAAAGTCCGGGCGTCGATCAAGATGATCGTCTGCTAAAACATTACATTGGACCCATGAGAAAAGCACTTCAGACAATCGGTCGAGATCCCAAATTTTGTTTGTGGACTCGGGCTACGTGAGGGTGCGTCGTACCTGGTTGTAACCATCGCTGCAATGGTTACTGAAAAATCGCGAGACATGGAATTCTTTAATAACCTGACAACCTCAATAATAATAATAATAATAATAATAATAATAAATGCATTACCTTGACGGCGTACGATTTGTTTCTCATACTGGCCTGCACTACGCCGGTAAAGCACTTCAGGTCGTCGTCGTAAATGATCTGCACGACGTAATTTGATTTTACGGCATTTTCACCCCTCTGAACTAAGCTGGGTTCTTCACAGAAAAAGAAGCGCACATTGCGGAGGCCTCTACGGCCACGGCAATGCACTTGTTTTTGTCGCTTGTCTACCGACGCAATTCAATGAAGACGCCCACTGCAACAGAGGCCAGCAAATCTATTGTGTCGTCTGCTACCAAAGCAAAGCGGAGTGTAATACTTCAGAAATGGCTTTCATATTTACTGTATGACACTGAGACGACAAGAACATCTTCATATTAGATATCAAGAAGTTGGGTTGCTTACAAAAAATTATTTACTTACTTGTAAGCAAAAATCTAGCCTCATGTGGAGTCTCCATGCTTTAGCCCATAGCAACGCCCCTAGCAACGGTTTGTTTGGACCCAGACGCCATGTTGTGACATAATCACTTACTGGGTCAATTGTTTGCATACACTGAGGCTTATGTATGCACATTATATTGCAATGGGGCAATCATTTTGACAACGACCACATTAAACATCAATGCCTTTATCAAATCTCCACAAAAAATAAAAAAGAGAGGTTGGGATGTAACGGAAATATATTTTGATTTCCCCTTCTGCTGCCGACTGTGGACCGATTCCTGCAACAACACATCAAAAACATTCTTTATGCTTAATCTGGATATGAATAAAAAAATTGGTACCAGACACGTCAATGTCAATATGATACGAAGCAAAAGTGAAATCAGACATTACCTGCAACAGCTTCCACTTCATTAGAACTGAAGATGAATGCTGAACCTAAAACAAAAATAGCAGGTCTAAAAAAACTGCCAGTCGACCAATATATAAAACAATCTTTGTGTCGTGACAAAAGTGAACCATGTTTTTTGCACTGCAAAAATATATGATGTCTAAAATAGGTCTTAGTACTGTGAAACAAACCGGAAGAAACTGCACCTGCACATACAAGCTAAAGCATTCATTGAATGTAAATTTAAGTGGTGCATTTTACTTGATGGAAAAACAAAGCTAAAATGAGGCCAACAAGCTCACCGGGGTCAATTGCGGACGTGCTCACTGCTCGCCACAACTACCGAAGGTGGCGCCAGAGGTTACAGCCATCGCTAACTCGGTCGTCTGCGAGCACATGCGCCACTGACCCTGGCAAGTTTGTTGGTCTAATTTCTCACAGGAAGCGAGCTATGTCTTGAAATTTCACCAGATAAAATGTACCACCTAAATGCACATTCAATGGAAGTCTGAGTCTTCTCCGTGCAGGCGCCAATTTTTCTGGCTTATTAAACAGGGTTAAGGTTCATTCCATAAACCCTGTAAGTGATGTACTGCTGAATTTCTCAGACTTCACCCCAATGTAGTGCCACCTGTTGAGACAAGACGGCAAAGTTTGGAACTGGTCATATTGGTTGCATTACTAGATACCTTATTTCCACACAAATTACCGTACTATCCCAAGTCATCGCCCACCCATCTTTTTAAACAAATATTAATTAAAAAAAAAAAAAAAAAGAATGAGTGATCGCTTACTTGTACGAATGCCCCAACGAGGACTTTGCGATCCCGAACATTCATCCTACCCGAATGACGCGGCCACGGACCTTACAGTTGGAGGACGTCTGTGACAAAGTAAAACGAAGGAGGGAAAGACCTCCCTTTGTTTGTGCATTTTCTGCATAAAATTTATGCATCTTATGCATTGTATAGCGTTCCATTTTGAGCTCAGTGTTCGTGGTGCCGTCCACGCCACGCAGCAACGCCGCCTCAACCCGCGCTGACGGACGTACGCGTGTATGACTTTAGTATGCACCAAAGGAAGTTGCGCAACAGCCTGCTTCTTGTGATCGACGAGGTGCCCGACTTGGCCCGACGCCAAAGAATTTGCCAACGCGATCGATAGCTTACTCGCTTCACCGGCATCGCTCTTCGTCGCTACTTTCGTCTGCTCGCTCGCTCGTTGCGCCTAGGGAGCCTTCGAAGCACACATGAAGGCACCCTTGTTGCGCCTGGTTGGCTTTTCTATTTCCTTGTTGACATTTTTTTTACTAACGCAGAAAACATAGCGGTGTTATTCATGAGCATTTCCTGCATAAAACAATGAAAATAGTTCCGAGTTTTGCGTGCCCCGCTAGATACATACACAAAAATTGGCGTCTTTCTTCAAGTTTTCTAGACTTTTTGGACTTACCCACCGAGACATGGCCCACTCTTTTTTTTATGAATTTAAGGCGGAAGGGGGTGGGTGATGACTCGGGATACTAAGTTGCTGTTTTATAACTAACTCATTTTACTCACATTTAGACTACTGCCAACTGGGGTGCAAGTCAACTGCATTCTCAAACCTACAGCATGTTCACCTAGTACAAAAAAAAAAAAGGATATGTTGCGCATCTATAACGTGCTGTCTGAAACACAATTCAGTTTTCTTTTATCGTTCCCACGAGGTCAGAGCCCACAACAGACATGGACATTGTTTGAGTGTCCACAATAAATCAGAAACACAAAGAAATATAAATAACATATGTAATCCGGCCCAATTGCAAGTAAAAAGCTTTAGTTACTCTACAAGACGTAAAGAGAACTGGATAGTTTATACAACTCAACTGGACTCCACAAAATAGTGCCTCCATTATTCCTTAATCAATATCAATTAAATAGCTATCACCTTCTTAACTTTGATATACCTACACATTTGCAGGTACGAGCTTCACAGTGTATGAAAGCATGCAAACACAACTTTTCAGATGTAATTCTGCGCTACTGATATGCTAAAAATAATTTTGATGAATTCTACCTATCTTGCGTTCAACTTCCAAGTACTTATAATGTAGGCAAATGTCACTGCTATCGTTTTGTTGTTGGTGGTGGTCTTTTGCTGTTCTTATAGAGGGTGTGTTGTGCTTTGCAACTTATATTTGTGCATCATTTCTTGTGTTCTTTTTTATTTCTTCTCTACATTCCTCTGCACTTGATGGGGGCCGAAGAACAGTCAAGGTGCTTGGACAGCTTTGGTTTCTTTAGCTCCCACTAGGCACGTAGCCAGGGGGGTGGCCCATGGCCCCCGCCCCCCCCCCCCCCCCCCCGAAATCTTCCATTTTGCTGAAGCCTCCTCTCCCCCTTCTCCCTCATACAGCATTTTGTCATGGGCAGCGGCGGCCCCCCTGCCCCAAAACAAAATCCTGGCTACGTGCCTGACTCCCACCATACTTACATGGTGACGAAAAGCTATCATTATTATTATAAAAATTTGGAAGTGCTTAATGCTAAATTTTTAATGAGAAAAAGTGGCAAATGGAGTCCACGAATACATGAAGTTGAATAGCCTCTGTTGTAAAAAAGGAATGACATTTTCTCACCGAAATCTTTAAAGAATCACTTAAAATTTCTAAATCAGATAACACTGCATTTTGAAATAGTATTGACATCTCATCCCAATTGCCGGCGCTACATTCAAGTGGCGTCCGAGCTTTCGGCGATATGCAATTAAGTTTTGCTGTGTGAAAAACACTGTTTTTCTTCTTCACTGGCACCCACGTTTCGATGCGACTATGCCACTGAAATGACAGTCCCATAAATTTATACTTCAGGAATTACTTTTATTTTCACAAACGAGTTTGAAAATTAATAATGAAATTAGTTTAGATAAAACACCCCTCATATTGACTCATCTGCAGAGCCAAAACATGCCAGTCACGGTGAGAGAACTCATATAAAGAGAACAACATACACTTACAACCCTATGTCAGCCTTCAAATTTTCAACATTCACTTTTCGATTTCATGAACTTAAGCTACTTTTGTGAACAACCTGGCTAAACGTAGAGGTTAAAGGCCCATTCACGCACTTGCAACCCAGTAGGACCAGCTGAGACAAGACTGGTCTTTAAGCCTCTTGCAACGGCATAGGACTGGATGCACTGCTGCAGAGCAAATCCTAAGCCGTTACAAGAGGCCTAAAACCGGTCTTGTCTCATCTGGTCCTACTCGATTGCAAGTATTAACGGGCCTTAACAGTAAACAGTGCAGCCACCAACACAGACAATGTTCTCTTCCACACTCTCAGCCATCACAGATCTGTTTGAACATGCCAGTTACAAGAATGACTACAGCACAAGATGACTCCATGTGACTTCAGTTAGTGACAAGGTTTGAGGAAAAAAGGCTCCAAACCAAAGAGTTTACAGCTTCTAACCTCTTTCTTATAAAGGCTTCATACTTAAGGTTGTGGAGCCACAATCGCCTTGGCCTCAACGTGCCCGGTGCTAAAGCCCACATTCCCCGCCGGTGTGAACACCTCTTGACTCCATCATAGTCTTCAGTGCTGAAGCAGGCATTTCCCGCCAGTCTGGGACCCTATGAACCCCGCCATGTAGGTCGGCGTGCCTCGCTCGCTTGCCGGCGAACATCTGTTGAGGTTCCCGTTACAGTACCGAGCGGAGACTTCTAGCCAGAGAGGTGCCGTGGCACTCGATTGGAGCGTGAGGAGGTGGCAGACAAAGGGGTCGGGTGGTTATATAAGGAGGTGGCAGGCGAGGGGTTAGGAGAGTCTTGATTTGAAGGTCTCCGGTTAGAGTCCTTGGTAGAAGAGTCCTCATTGAGAGAGCCGACAAGCTGCTGCAGCACTCGGAGGAGAACGGGACTGAGGGCGACAGAATGCGAGTTGATAAACTGTTTGATTGAACTTGCTGTGTTGCGTGACTTCCTCGGGAACAACTGGAGCGTGGCTTGATCGAATCGGGTGTAATACGAGGCTGAACGATCCCACACAGTGTGTTGTACCTTAGCGGGACGTTGAAGAGATTCACCAAGCTTAACTTCATAACTGAGGGTGCAGCTGAACATACTGACTGAGGGTGTAGCTGAAGATACAGACTGAGACCTTGCCCGAGCAGATCATCTCTCGCCCGCAAGTCAGACGATGAAAATGCGCACATTCATTCTTGCCTACCCCAGTTGCTTCTGCTAGGTTTGACTGGAATGTCGCACCTTTCCCCTCCCTCCTTTACTCTCACACTGACGCACTCACAATCACTCACTCACTCTAGTTTTTGTCAGAATCGCAATCCCTGTCTCAAATTCACTCACACTTACTCTCACACTCATAATCCCTCAGTCTCACACTCTCTAATAATCACTGTCTCACATTCAGCCTCACACTCACTGAGGCTTACACTCTTACAAGTTACAACCACTCAATCTCACTCACAATCATTCAGCCTCACCCTTTTAACTCTCACTCATGATCACTGTCTCACACTCACTTGGTCACTCTCAGAATAACTCTCACACTCACTTTCACAATTCCCCTCCCTTTCACACTCACTCCCTCACATCCACACTCGCAAACACTCTCACATTCTCTAACTCACAATCACCCAGTCTCACTCTGACTCACTCAATCTCATTCATAATCACTCAGTCTCACCCTCACACATTCGCAATCACTCAGCCTCAAGTTCACATCGCTCAGCAGAAGTGAAGCAGATGAAAGCACCCGGGGGCGTCTGGTCACCTCGGCCTTCTTGGGATATGTGAGGGCCGTCGTCAGTGGGTGGAATTGCTCGACGGCTTGACCGGGGAAGTGAGTCCCTTGTCTGCCTTGGCTGCCTTGCTCTGCGAGACGGTGTCCAAAGATGTTTGAGCGGGATCAATGTCTAGACCAGGCGGTCCTCAAACTTTTTGATCTCGAGGAATGCCCACCTCTCTAGATCGACAGTCAAAGAACCTCTTTTGGACTCGTCACTAATGCAATAAAGCAATGCAGAAGCTTACACAGGGTTTGTAAAGAATATCACACATACTGCGGAGTACCTATAGGGCACATAGTCATGCATCATCAATGTATAGCTCAGATCCTCTGAAAATCTATTCACACGGAGCATCTTTTTGGCGAGTCTAGTGTCGCGAAACTAAGTTTCGGGAAACAGGTGCACCGTTTGAACGAGACGGGAAAAGATGCGTGCATTCGAAAAAGAATGCACGTGTTCCTCACTCTTGTAGCGAGATTTTGCTGAAACCTCACCGAGACATGTCAATCAGCCGAACAAGAAACAAAGACACTGCCAATGGCCGCTCAACATCGCCGTGACATCTGATCTTCGAGGCAGAGCGAGCTTTTGGAGGAGCGATTTTTGGCCAATGCCGTATCCAAGCCAAAGCCGAAATTAGAAAACAGACATCGCAGTGCGGGTTGGCAGTATGGGTCGACGGCGCGGTGCAGATTCCTCAACAGTCGGGACGAGTGCAAGCACCGTGTATAAACGCGATGACTGAAGATAGCTCATCTTTTAGAAGAGAAAAAAATTTCCCAAATGCTTAGAGATCATCTGCCTCTGCTTTCTTGTTCAAGTGCCTTCCCTGGCCTAGTAGGCCTAGTATATTCAGTGAGCTAAATTTTACGAAGTTTATCGAGCAATATTAACAAAGCAGACTATCTTTTCACACTCTGCGTACCTCACATCATTTGCTGCAAAATGCTCGATATCCCCAGTGCAGACGACAAGGTTTTGCGAAATTCCCGCGAAATATGTCACAGTTCTCGCACATCAAACTTGACGTGCAAACTAGCCGATTGCGCAAGACCTCAGTTTCGCTAAACCGTTGTGCATTAAAAAGATGCACCATGTGAATAAACCTCAAGTCAGCGGTCCTCAACCACAGATGTTTCAAGGACCCCCTCTTGATCGGCAGAGGTGATGGGGGACCCCGTTCGATGGCGGGCAGGTGGTGGTATTCAACAATTGCATTGACAAAAGGGTAAATGAAGAAAACTAAGTGCATGACAACCATCTTTGCAGCCCTGGAACAGAGAACAAGCAACCCTACTCACTCAGTGCACATGGCTTCATCTACTAAGCTTTGTATGGCCAGCCAGCATCATAAAAAAAAAAAAAAAGGTTAAGTGCTCGGCTTGACTGATAGGTCTAAGACTTCAGGGAACCCAAGAAGGCCTTCAGGGACCCCCAAAGGGTCCGCAGACCCCCATTTGAGAGCCACTGAACCGAAAGAACACTTTACAAGCAAGCAGGGACAGCTGAGGAAATTCGGGAGAGCCGAGATCCCTCGCCAGGTTCTTAAAAACCGAGCCTGAGAACCCGTAGTCTGAAACCGGGTTTCTAGGAACCCAGGGTACTCCGAGCTCCTAAGTTTCCTTGGCTATCCCTACCCCAGAGCAAAGTGTTTTCTCAGTTTAAGCACCCCTTCAGCAAATCTAAGTCGCCCATTGATGCACACCCATGGGCCAAGATACTTTGTTTCAGCTTAAGTCCAGACACAGCTGACTTTACAAGGTTATGGGACCAATCGAGCAGGACCAAAAGCGCAAGACGCTAGGCCTTTCCTATTTCTGATTGGTGCGGCAACGATAGAACAGATGCAGGAACACGACGAGCACCACGACGGTGCACTTTTGACGCCGTCCGATAGGTCCCATAGGCTTGTGGTGTCGGCTGCATCTGAATTTATGGTGAAACGAAGTACGGTAGGCTCGTTCGATTTACGTGCACCTCCTGCACCAGAGCAGAAAGTGTACGGCAGTGCACTTCCGGTATGCCTATTGAGATACAACCGGAAGCACACCGCCCCACACTTTTCTGCACCTGTGCAGGAAGGGCAGGTAAATTGAACAAGCACTATGCGCATTATTGCTACGGTTCCATGTTTTGAGGTGTATTAATGCGAAAGCCTTAACTTCTCATGAAGCGAGCTGACGTCATCAGCTTTGAAACCATGCAAAACGGCACCGTTAATGAAACCCGTGCAAAGCTAGCCAACGGCAGCTTTTACACTTCAGCTCCATTGGCTGGCGCGCATCAACGAGGCTCCCATTGGCCGCTGCCTGTCAGTTTGTGTGGTGTCATCCTGACTGTGTTATTACTGATCATCGCGTCTGCCCCCATCTTATCGGTTGTATGGTGCATGGCAATATATACGGCGCATGGAATCAACCAAGGGGTTCGTTCTGCTGCGAACTACGTTGCTGTCTGTTCCTTCCTCGCACCGCAAGGCACACGACAGTTTGAACGATCGCTCACCTGATGGCACTGCGTATATGAGGGGCAGCGGCTCCACCGTTCCACGCCCAAGGTCAGCGCGTTGCACGCCGCAGGTTAAAGAGGAGAGCAAAGAGCGGCGTGCAAGCTTTCGCATTCACAACTGATAAGAAGTGCTTATGATTATTTTTTTCCAAAATCGAGGGATTCACAGATCCTCCTTGACGGAATGCAAAGACCCTTTGCGTACACGCGCAATTTCCAAGAAACGGCGTACACAAAGCTTTTGCATACGCAATTCTAAAACTCCTTAGTGTGACGTCATTGCCACTCCAAGACCGCTTTCGACGCATGGGCAATACATGCGGAGCGCAAGTTCGTCTGCTTCTTGCACGGGGGTTCAGATGATGTCAGAGCACCGAAATTGATCAGCTGATTGAGCACTATCCTTTCAATCAAAGCCAATCAGAGCTTGGCATCGTTCTGACGTCACCGCAACTCTTGCACAAGAAACAGATGACTTGCTCTCCGCATAGAGTGGGAAGCACACCAGAAGATGCGTTTGAGGCACCGCAGTAGCAGTCTCAAAACCCCGGCAACCCTGGCCCAGAGTCCCACCTTTGATGAGGGTGATTGGGGCTCCCGCTTGACCCGACTCAGGTCAAAATCTGCCTTGTCGTTGGCGCCGCTCTTGGGATGCGAGGTCGGAGTCTCCGAGCCACTGCCCTCGCTCGCCGTCGAGTCGTGCCGCGAGCGCTGCCGGCGACGGGGCTGCCGTGCCCGTCCCCCGGGGGGTGGGGACTGCATCGCCGCATCCTGCGAACCTGCGTACGTGAAACGAAGCACCGTTTGCATTTTCGGAGGGACCGCGAAACAATCTTCAGGCTTTGGCCCATTAGTACTCCAGTCCTCCAATGTCCCAAGTTTGAAAACTCGGCCGACGGGCACTCCAGCCACCCTTCCCTGCGGCGAGCGTCACTGATCACCGAAGAGAGTACAGACTTTCGAGAAACCAACAAAACTCCCAGTCATAGCCTGGCATTTCATTTTAAAGATCTAGATCAATGACCGTACAAATGCACACCGCTAGTGCACTTCGGCAAAATGCATTTAGAATATTATTTATGTGTGAAAGGTTGCTGGGACAGATGACAACCCAGTCCCATTTTCTCACTAGCTCTCCCTTTCTACATCCGCCTCACCGGACCGAGAGGCCTCGCCTTCTTCGAGTGGCGACATTCGAAGAAGTGGCAGCATCTCGTGCGCATCACTGGCCCTAACAATTAAAGAAGCTGCGAAGCAGTTCCCTAGACTCGGTGAGATTTCGAAGCGCGGGTGGATGCCTTTCAAGCTCTAGTGGATTGCCCAATCCAATTGTCTCCCCTTCTCGATGCCGAGTGCATGCCTCCGATGGCTCGGTTTTTCCCCGGGGGAGAAGCTACCCCATGGCATAACGGTAAAGTCGCTGAAGGGGAGACGTCTAAGTGGTGATACCTAGTAGTAAAATCTCGTTGCACCAGATCTGGTAACAGCAGACATTCAGTTGTCATACCCATTTGTCAAGTGTGATTGCTCATCCCATCTATGCCACTGAACCAACTTCGTTCATTACAGATTCTGCTGGGCGTGATTTCAGATAGGGTCTGGTCGAACATAGGGTGGCCGGTCAACCTTTTTAGCTTGCTTCATGATTTTATGTATTATTTCCCGATGCCAAAGATAAACAAAATCATAACTATTTTCACCCACAAAAGAAAATTATCGGATGCAAAAAATCGTAAATTACGAAGAGGTGGAAAATTACGTTTACGTACGCAGCCAGAGTGGTCAACTTTGGCGATAAATAACAGAAAGTATACTTTCTGAGCGAGTTTCATAATTTTCAAATGCAATCTATAAATACTTAACAATATGATAGAAGTCTTGCTATTATTATATTTTTATAAAAATTATAAAAAACAAAACAAATTTCGGCTGGTTGATCGTTTTCCCCCCAAAATTGCAGGCCTGTATCTTAGAAAACAACTGTGCCACAAGCGTAATATTTTGACACAATATGCTACTTATAAATAAACGTCAATTCACATTAAAATATATATATATTTTTTAATTAATGGGTTGTTGAGATATTGACAAGCAAACACGACAAAAGCGAGAAACTACAAAAACATTCAGAGGACAATTTAAAATAAAAAGTTCTTGATTTTTTGTTTACATGCAAAACCGACAAAAGCAACAAACTAGAGAAACATTCAGAGGACAATTTAAAATAAAAAGTTAACGATTTTTTGTTTAACTCTGGCCAATCTTGCTACCCTATTTGGGGGTTAATATCCAATAGAACCATGTTGCATTATATTGATGGTGTAAAACATACAGCTCCTCCACGAAGACCCTTCTCCGACCCTCGGTATTGGTTGTCCCTATGCTGCAACGCAGTGGCATCCATTTTGCGAACTGCTGTCGTCATGATCGGCGCCTCGCGAACCTAGTACAATCCAAAACGCAAGGCGATGACGATCGTCGGTACAGCTCCATAAAAATATTGCTACCTTTCAAAGTTCAGGAGATTATATAAACCAGGTCTTTTCTAATATCCATTCACATTTCATCAGTCTCACTGGTTAGAACAGACTTCAGTCATCACCCCCAGCAAAGTCTGTAGTAAGAGTATCTAAGTTCTACGGTGTGTCACCCCAAAAAATTTACAGCCTTTTTTTTTTTTCACTGCACAAATCAACTATGCATCTCGGAACGCTCATCGTCCACTCAACTGTAGCGCTAGCGGTCTGAACTGGATGCCAAAGTTTCAGAACTAACCATTATCTCAATCAAAAGTTACAAGTGATTTTCTGCAAATTCTGATTGGAAAATGATGCATTATTCTCAGCCGTTCATGGTAACTAACGCCATTCAGCTCCGTGCATTCGCCGATATAGCATTCTCTGGAAGTGTAACACGGGTGGTTCAGACAGTGTGGGGCCGCGGTTCGTAAAATCAGAAGGCGCAGTAAGTACTTCAAAGCTGTCGCCGACGGCTTCAAAGAGCTGCTCCTTGCGACTTTACAAACCGCGGCTCCAGACTGTCCGTCCCGCCGGTGTTGTGCTCCTTTTGTTTTTAGTTTCTGCTTGCTTGCAGCTTGTACATTTTGGTTTTTCAATGTCAGAAAAACGTTTCCTGCCCTTTCCCTGGTCAAATAAGAATCCTTTTCCTCTCGTTCAGCACATGTTTTTCTGAGAGTGAAGGCAGAAGTCCTTTTTTATCAATCCCTGTTGTTAAAACGTGTTCACCAATTTGTGCCTCACATTAGCTCTCTCATTTTTGTCAGTGTCGCATTTATGAGAACGGCAAAACGAGCTAAGCTGAAGGGTCAGTGGCACTTGCATAGCCGTAATCAGCTATTGTCACTGACCCTTCAGTTGTCGAGACAACTCCAATCCGCTTCAGCTGACTTGGTGCAAGCCATCTCGCACATCGAGGAAGTTGAGGCCGCTGTCGCTGTGCTGCGAGCGTCAAGCTATGTGAGAGTCCTAAAAATGGCGAGAGAGCTTCGCGAAAAGGTTCACTTGACTCTCGAAATGCCACGAGTCAAATCTTGCCAGAAACACCGCAGTAGCGTCCGTGCGACTCCTGTGGATGAGTACTTCAGACTCGCTGCATTCCTTCCCTTCATTGACCACTTTCTCGTACGGCCCAAGGATAGATTCAAGAATCACAAGAGAACCCTTAAACTCCTATAAGCTTTACTTTCCAAAAGAGTCACCAAAGAGAAGAAACAGCCCGATTTTGACAAAATTGGGAGCCTCTACGGGGACATCATTTGCTTAAGTGAGCTGCCCGGGGAAGTTGCTTTTTGGTCTCAGAAGTGGAAGGGCCGCAATGCTCCACGTGTTTCTGTTGTGCAGGCGGTGTCTCTTTGCCCGAACGCCCTGTGCCCAAACATCTAACTATTTCAAGCTCTGGCCACCCTGCTTGTTAACACCACCGAGCCAGAGCGCTCGTTCTCAACTTAGTGAAGGCTGTGAAGACTTACACAAGAAAGTCCTTGTCTCAAGATAGCCTTCTGGGACTCGCACTTCTGACAATTCGCCGAGACACCCCCGTCAGCTAAGAGAATGTTTGATCGTCTCCTTGTATCGATCAGCGACGGCTTCGATCGAATGCATACAAAGATTCTGACCTAATCTGGTGTCCAGCAGACAGCATAAGGACGAACAACACTGACGGCTGTTTTTTGCTCGCGTTTCCTCATGCTCGTGAAAGCGGCACATCATTAGTTATATTTCTGACCTCTGATAATATTGTAAATGTTCCATCCAGTTTCCTATTTCTTCTCATTGTTTAAGTCATGAATTTATAAAGCTTGTTATAAAATCTATTCAAAGTGTGCAGATGAACAAACCGCGTTGTTGAAGCAATGAGACTAGCCGAATAACATATGGGCCGGCGCTGGGATCCAAACAGCCCCCCATCAATTATCCCCGCCCCCCAGCCACCATTGTAACTCTTCCGACGGTGCTGCCAGGTCTACTGACCTCATGTTTGACATGTTAACCACTTACAGCAGCTCAAAGATGAACTGGAGGCACAAGACACGGCACCAAGGTTTGCGTGTTCCTTCCGAACACAAACCCCATGATTGTCCGCTCAAACGCCACTGTTAGACATAGTAAAGTTACATTATAATTGAAGTATTAAAAGAAAAAAAATTCGAGGGGGGGGGGGGGGGGGGGTGTTGACCCTCTAAAGCCCCCTGGCTATGCCACTGTCAGTCACCAACCCTGTGTCTCCTGTCGGGACAGCTTGAAAGACTTGGAGAGGAACTGCTGCTTGGCGTCCCAAAGCATCTGTTGGCGCTGCACCACGTCTGGGAACCTGCGACACGCCGGCACCGCACCGAAGTCACAAACCCAGTCAGCTTTTTCTGCGCTCGCGAGTGCCGCGTTTGCCGACGTTCGAAACTAGGCCGAAAGACCCTTCTTACACGGACAACATGTGCAGCAATAAGAATGTAATTTTAATTTGAACAGCGATAAGATAGAATAGATGAATATTCATCTACGTTATTACACATTCCTTTTATTGTTTTTTGAACTGTGATGTCTAGCAACATGTTCCTATTGCACTCTGAGAAAGTTTGTGACTCTTGAAACATCATACAGTATAGACCACTTACAACGTAACCGCTCATAGTGCAGGACCGGGTATAACGCGGCTTTTTTAGACCACCGGTTCGCCTCCCATAGAACTCCATGTAATCACATACCGCTTAAAATGCAGGCGTGCGAAGGGAAATACCGGTTATAGTGCGGTTTCTGTAACAGCCCGCTGACCGCGGCGACCAACCGACGCAGCGAGCACGCTTCCCTGTGCGACACTAGATAACGGCGCTATCCGCAAGCGGCCCTCACGGGGCAAAAAGGCTGCTCGAAGAAGCGGGGAGAAGCGAAGGGAGAGGTTTCAGTTGCCATAGCGACGGAGGGATGCACGCACGTGTCGTTCACGTGCGTGCGTCCCTCCGCTCTATGCGTTGGAAACAACCGCAACGACAGACCAATCGCAGGTCGAGGAGAAGTGTTCGCGCGCTTTGCATTTCGGTCGCGGGCCGGCTCCTTCTATCCGCAAACATGGCGTTGGCTGTGACCGTCGACGTAGAAGCTCATCGTTCCGCGTAAAAGCGCTATCCTTGACTGTGAATTTTCGTTGTGTGTCGCTATGATAACCCAGCACGTACTAGAAGGGAAGATCCACCTATTCGTGCGGCGATGTCGTGGCGGCACTCTCAAGACGGCAGAAACGCCCGTGTCGTTGTGTTTGTTTACTTCGACTACAGTGGTGCTTTCTAAGCATTTGTGTTTTCGAACATCGCCCGGATTTCTTATTTGAGGCATTTCATGCCTGTGCTCAAGTTGAAGGTATTACTGCCGCGTACTGTAGAAAGGATGCGAATTTTCACGCGTTTTCATCGCCGGAGAAAAGTGATTAGGGCTAGCAATCCTGAACGCTCGCAACGTCCGTCTGCAACCCGCGACGCCGTTAAAAGGCTGCGCCAGACAAAAGTCACTCATTTCTTTCAAAATGTGTGACACACTTGAGAGACAAGTGTACTAGTCTTGTGAAATAAAGACTTTCTCAAACTAAGCTTTATTTTTCATCTAACATAAAATAAATTTTTTTACAAAGGTAAGTTGCCTCATGGCATGTATTTTGGCCTGAAAAATTTATGATTCGGTTATAGCGCGGTACCGCTTATAGTGCGGATTTTCGCGACTCCCGCGACATACGTTATATGCGGTCTACACTGTATTTGGTTATTACACTACGATTCTGCGTCTTCAAATAAATCTGGTAAAATCCCCCCAAAAATCACATGCCAGTAAAATTTTCGCAAATCCGGGTTTATCCGAAAAACTTAGAATTTAGATCCCAATATGGTGAAAAAACAAAGAAAAAACACGGTGTTCTACAAATAAGCTTCATCAGAGCACAGGATCAGTGGTCCCGGGGAGAGGCTCCTCCAGTTTCATTCAAAATCTAGGACTATTAAAGAAAGCTGTTTGCCATTTATCTTGTCAAGTTTTGTTCAGAACAAGGGGTCATTGTTATGTTGGGTCATGACAAAAGCTACTGTTCTATATTTCAGCTTGGACTTCTTACAGGGAGGCAGGTATGTGTATTTATAACACCAAAAGCTACAATTAGAGGAGGGAGGGGACCAGCTAAAGGCTATATCTGCCCACTCCACCCCACGCAGCTGGAGTGTGGAGCTGTGGAATGGGATGGAGAAAAAACAAGCCTTCCAGAAACCACGTCAAGGATTTCAGTTATTTTAAGTATCGACGTTCATCAAAACAACACTGGTTTGCTAGTTTTGCTGCAGGGACAGTTAGTACTACCAATGGCAAGGGTGCAGCTTCTCAATCCAGCCGAAGAAATATAATACGAGGAGAGTTCTCATGACTTTAGGGCAGGTTTGTTTGTGTCCAGGTAATATTTGTTTTTATATTGAATTTGAAAGGACTGGGAACACAGCAAAATTTATTTCTGAGTTTAGGAGGGTCAGGCATCTATCACAAATAAACTCCCGTAAACTCTGGGCAAAAAATGAACTCTGAAAAACGCCCTCCGAATTTCACATGAAATAAACTCCGAAAAACACAGAACCCTAGTCATTACTAACGTCTAAAAGGACACTTTGTTCGTTTTGGCTAACAAGTAGTTCACAAGACAATTGACTGCATACCTTGTCTCCATAGCCCTATAATGCATGGGGTGTAGTATTTGAGGAGGTATCGTTTAAATTTCGCATCCGGTGTCACGGCATCGCATTGTGGCGTCACGCGACGTCGCGCCACGTGACACGGCAACGTTGGCGGCAGACTTCCCACCCACCTCGTAACAAACTCCTTGTCTGGCGAAAGCAGAAACTCCCAGCCGCTCGGCGTCAGGCGCCCCATCTCGCTCAGCAACGTCTTGACGTCTTCGCTCGGTAACTGCACACCCAAAGCAGAAAAGGCACGACGTTAACCGACGCAAAAAGAAAGACACGGCGAAGGGCTGACGTCCAATACGAGTTTATCTGCAAGGCAGAAAATCTTCCTACTTTACACTTGCCCCAAGGAGCAAGGGTAGCAACACAATGCGCTAAGCTAAGACTTGCGTTTGGCAGCATTTCAAATGGCAGTCTGGCCACTGTGGGTGAGGCGTAATGCTCGGCGTACGCACCGGTTTGGAAATTGCATGCGTGCTTGGGCAAGGTTTCGAGATCGGGAGGCGCGTGTGCGTCGGTATCAAAATGGCGGTGCCAAGGTGCCACGCTTGCAAGCGTCCACTACTACGACAGAACGTCTCTACAATGAAGTTGGATACCGAGAACATGTGACTATAATAAAGCAAGGTTGAAGTATGCTTGCAAGAGTAGAAAATAGGTAAGCTAGTGACGCAGTAAAGATACTGATATAGAGAAGATGCGCTCTAAAAGGTCGGGCTTTACTGCATTGAGGTTCTGCTGTATAAAGCGACACTAAAGAAGAGCTCGGCATTAAAGACAGACTATGAATGGAACGTGTAGAGTTGCGAGGTCTGACTGGCCCTCTTCAGCAAGGCATACAATGTCTTCGGGTCAACTTTTCGAAGCACGTGTCACGCATGTCGCAACTAATGTTGAGTTCTGCCGGAACTTGCACACAGTCCGTATGTCCAACAGTCCAGTAAGCCAAAACTCCCGAGTCCTAAACCCCAAAGCGCACTTCATTCGATGAAGGCCAGTGAAGCCTGTCCAGTACGTGAGCAACACGGTATGTAAAACGAGAAAGTCGAGGCACAAGTAGAACGACGAATGCAACAGTTCACTAACCCTAACGGTGTCGGCAAACTTGCTCTGTACCACGTGCCGTGACTGGGTGTACAACCACATCTGGAAAAAAGAAAAGAATACCGTAAGCTATAAGATTGAAGTGCACACTTTCTACAAACAAACCCAGCTTATTAAAAGTCAAATAGAAAGCAGTGAACGTAAGAGGTCATATTTTGAGGCTGTCAGCAATTGTGATACTTCGTTTAACGGAAATGGGAAAGTGGGACGAGAAGATCGCCTCGACTCTGATCCCAGTTTAAGTTTTGTCCAATCAATTGTCTCGATGTCCGACGGTGACATTTCTTGGCACTGTCGTGAGAAGGAACTCCACGCTGTTCCATCGATAAATTTTGGTGTGTGTTTGTGATTCTTGGTAGAGACAAGTTCTCCGTTCAATGTTCTCACTCACCAGATAATCCCTGGCTCTGCACATGGTTTCGGCAGGTACGCCCGTGACAGCACTGAAGCTGTCTTTGGGGTACAGCACATCACTGCAGAAATCGGTCAATCAATCAATCAGTCATTCAATCAATCAACTGTACTAACTTCATTCATTGGCATACCCACGAGTTAACCATGCAACCAATTGAAGGCCAATTAATTTGCTCATCAATCCATATGGGTATGACAAAATTAATTGATCTATTATCTTTTATAATGTAATTAACTGTAACAGCAATAATATGTAGCAAATTAAGACATTACCTGATACTAAAAGCTGCTGTCTAGAAATTTATAATTTCACACAAATTAGTATGAACAAATGCCAGAGAGAATATTACAGAATACCATGAAAACCGTGTTTTCTCGAAACAAAATCAGATCTCTAATTTTTAGTTAGGTTACTAACAGTGACTGATTAGTTCCTTGGTACATAATATTTTGGCTGATTGCTCTACAAATAAGGCTATCGGTCAAGCAGTAACTCAGTCAATCAATCAAGAACTCAGTGGCACATTTTCTTCATAAATTAATTAGACAAGCATAATTACAGCCAACACAAGCTGGAAACCAGATGGCATAAACTCTAGGAACTGATAAACCAATCAATCTAGTCATGGATAAGCCAATTTCTGAACTACTCAATAGCACATTTACTGGCATGTAGCATGTGCATTAAATGTGCATCAAGCATGTTTCAGGCAACAATGATTACAGCCAATGTAACCCGGAGGTCAGATGGCATCAGGTGCAGTAACTAATGAATCAATAAGTTCAATCATAGATCAGCCAACCTATCAACTGCTCAAGAGCAAATTTACTTTACAAACAAATCAGTCCAGCAACAATTTCACACAAGCCTAATTACAGCCAATGAGACCTGGAGCCCAGATGGCACCAAGTGCCACAACAAACAAACCAATCAGTCTAATCATCAATCAGCCAATCTATGTCCTATTCAATAGCCAATTTACCATGGTGGAACTGACCAGTGGTAAATTAGAGCAGCTCTTGTAGCAGGGAAAAACGAGTTTTGGAGCATAGATTTCCACTTTTGGAGCAGACAATTTTGAGCTTTCATGCAAGGAAATTTTATACAATCTCTTTGAAAGTTGGCATGTGGAAAAAAACTGCAGTTGTTGGGGTGTTGAGAGGCTATTTAAAGTGTCATACCTACAGGGGACATGGCCGCTACAGATATGTATGTATTTATTTATTGAATAATCTTATGGTGGCAAGTTTGCAGATGTCTGCATTTGACAAAAAAAAATGTTTTTGGCTACTTTATTGGGTTTCTATCACACTGCTCTTGATTGTATTCCACCTTCTACTGTTCGCAAAGCAGCTAAGCACAGCACATAGCTACTCATTCGATCACAATGAATAGCGCTAGCTATTCATTGCGATCTATGTGAGCACCGTTGGCAAATACCGATAAAGGCCTGTTCACACTCTTGCGACCTCTTAAACCTGGGTTCCTTAAAACTTCTTAAACCAGAAAACACACTGGCGCCATCTACTGGGAAGCAGTGTAAACTCGGCGGTCCGGCATATTTTTTTTATTTCTCACACATTATCCTTTCTTTCTTGGCTCGAAAAACTTTTGCCAATGTTATAAACGAGCCTTTCTATGGGTAATACGCACATTTGACCTCGGAAATCCCGCAAAAGCTTCGCTCTTGTGAAATGCAGTTCCAGGGTCACCGCATAGATGGCGCCACAATGCCAGTGTGTTCCCTCATTCTAAAAACATTTAAGAAGTTTTAAGAGATCTCGTCTCTCTCAGTCGTACTCGGTCGCAAGAGTGTGAACGGGCCTTAACTCTTCGTTAGGCATGTGAAAATAATGAATATCGCGTTTGAAGCAAATTCAAAGCGAATAGTGGTTTTGGCCGAATATTTTATAATCGCATATTGAATAGCTGCTGTGCCTTTCTCCATGCCTTTCACTTCTGTTACACCATGTTTAAACAAAAATTCAGCTGAACTCGCAAAGGTTGTTCCCAAGCTTTTAATAGCCCACTTATCCGCTCTGTTAAATTTGGTCTAGCTATAGTTAATGATCGTGACCTCAGAAAGTTCAATACCTACGTTGGGATGGCAAGTAAACGACAGATATCACATAAAATTAAACCTATAAAGAAGCCCCGCCATACCTAATTGAGGGGATTTATAAATCTTCTTGCTATATGCAAATGTTATCTTCAATTCTGAATTAAAAATGAAAAAAGAAGCAAGCACACGTAATGAACACAGGTTGTTAGAACATTGCTGCCTAACATATACCCTTGCACAATAGCCACAGTTAAATTTGGAAGATTTTACTGCAATGTAAATATCAACAATCACAATGTTTTCTTTTTGTGGCTTTTTTATTTTATTTTTAATACACCAGGCGCACATGTGCACCAGATTACTTTGAAGGTGTGTTTTTTGCATAAGCGCATGGCTCCGCTGCTGTGAAGCGAGTCAGACATTGCGGTGTCAGCTCCGCGGGTATCACTTCTCCACAGTGGACCGGTGCTTGAGGAGAAGCACACTCAAGGGGGCTAACCCGCCGCGATCAACGCTTCGAAAAGTATAAATATTGCAGTTAATATTGAAGAGAATTTCAAATAGCGTACTGTTTGAAACTTATATCTGAAAATTTGAATATTCATGTGGCCCTACTCTTTGCACGTAGTACTTATGCATTCGAAGAAAAAAATATAACAAAAAACTGTACCGTATTTATTTGAATATAAGGCGGTCACGATTATAAGGCGAGGGGGCAGTTGAAGGACCCAAGAAAAAGAAAACAAATCGTCATATTGCTATACTGAGCTTCGAATATAAGGCGGGGTATGACTTTGAGACTACGGATTTTGGAAAAAAAACCTCGCTTTATGTTCAAATAAATACGGTACATCCTTTTTCAGTGGCATCGCCAACAATGCTACATGCCAGACAATTTCAGTTTCCTTTTAGAGAACAGCTCCCTTTCGGCGCAGAAATGGCACGAATTGCGCACAACTACAGCCTTTGGAGCAGCATGTAGCAGGTTGTTCGTTCTAGCGCAGTTTGGCGCAAAAGGCACAGCAATTCCACCACTGCATTTACTTCACAAACCAACCGTTCGAGCAGCACATTTTATACAAGCATAATAGACCTTATGCAGATTCGCCCACCATTTGTTGGAGCGCCAATCTTCCTTCCGACGCCATCTTTGAGGCAAAGCGCTGTGGCCGTTTGCGGCATGCGAAAGCCGTACGCAGCGACCGCACGACTGCTGTAATCTGCCACGTATCCAACGAGCAAACTAGCATTGGATAGTGACTAGTGTTCTAAGTCACTATCCAATGAGACTAGCACTTTTTTGCTTTTGAATACATTATATTCCGCGTACTTGCACCGTGGAGACACGCTGGTCATTTCCTTTTACGCCTGTGCGCCTCACACACGCTTCTGTGAGTAAGCTAGTATATTAGACCTTCAGCATAGTTTTTTTCACCTGCAAAGTTAAGAATATTATTACAGTAAATTCATACTGTATCACACGCACTCCTTATGATGATGTTTTGAGCTACCATTCAATGATCTCCCCAAGGAACTGAATACAAGATTTATTTGATAACTTTTATTTCAGAAGTTTTTTTTTTTTTTTTTTGTGGAATGATATCTGCCATACTTCTAAGGTGACAATGGGGAACCAAACTTAAAAATTCAATTCCCCCATCATAAAACTCTACTATTCGGGTCTGCAAACGCAGGGTTTAGGTCCACAGCCACAAATGCCAAATAAAAACAAACTGTCACACAGGAGCTGACTGTCCTGTTGAATATATCCCACAAATCGACTTTGTGCGAACGAGCATAATCTGCTTGTTGGGCAAGTTAACGTGCAATTCTAAAACAAGTGTGTGAGTTGGCCCGCTACAATACGGGAATAAAGCAAATTTTTATTTAAGAAAAGAAATATTTCGTGAAACCACTCAAGACAAACCTGCGCTTAATATTCGTTCACTTATTCTCGAAGGGCTGACACCGTCAATATACTAAAAAAAAACACCCCAAGAACACGCGACGAACACTATGCAGGGAGAGCGGGGTTCATACCGCGGCAGGCGGCAGGGATGGTGGAAAAGCCTCAAAGAGGGCACCGAGCCTCTAGTAGTATGCGTGGCCACCGAAAGATGGCGGTAATAATGAATAAGGTCTATTAGAGCAACGTAACTCGAAGAGTAGATAGCACCAAGTGCAACACTCAAGAAGCCGATCAGAGTAATGACAAATCAGTAAATCTATTAAAAGCAGGTCTATTTCACAAATCAATCAATCATGCAGTGCATTTTAGACAAGCATGATTACAGCGAATGTAACCTGGAGAATAAAAAGAATTGACTATGGTAAGCAGCATGGCAATCAGCCTAATGGTAGATCAGAAAGGCACTCGATCCTAAACTTGCAGTCGACACATCAATGGCCAATTTACGTCGACCGATTGGCCACTGTTAACTGTGGTAGGTGACAAAACCAATCGGCCTAATGGCAGACCAGTCAACTCCTCGGTCCACAGCTCTTAGCCAATCCATCAATGCCAAACTTAGGTCAATCAATCGGCTAATCAAAATCCCACTGCTGCCTACCTCTTGACCACCCAGCACCCCTGTACCAAGAGCGCCACCTGCTGCAAGAACCGGACAACGGATGTGGCATCCGACCTTGAGGGCAGCACGGACATCAGCTTGGAGAAGTCTACAACTTTTGCTGCAACACGCAGAGAAAACAAAAGGACAAAAAGCAGTCACAGTCTGCTCCACAATTACTACTGAAATATTGACTCCTTAAACAAACAGTGAAATTGTAAAAAAAACTTTTTTACTTTATTATAAATTTATTAATTATACTGACTAATCATTCAGGTGGGACGAGAGCAGATTCCAATTTTCAACTAAGCATTGCCGGCAGCCATAGCCCTGGGCAGCTCTATGGCCACACGCACAAAGATAATTCACCCATTACAGGCAATCAAGCTGGCCCCACTAACAGCAAGATTAACACATAGCGATGGCAGGAATGACACCCACCGCTTGTCAGGATGGCTTTGATCTGGTCTTGTAGCGGCAGGTCCCGTAGTCCGTGCATTGACTGCTCTCTCCGCTCGTGGTTAATCACAGTCGCGGGGGTAGTACTGGCAAAGAACAACGCCACTAACTGCTTAGCAAAAAGCTACGCTATTCCACCACTAAGCACAAAAGCTATCCTACTCCACCACTTAACAAAAAGTTGAACCTTAGAAAAAGGTACACCACTTAGCAAAGAGCTGTGCCTTACAAAAAGGTACACCACTTAGCAGAAGGCTGTGACTTACAAAAAGTACACCACTCAGCAAGAAGCCATGCCACTCTGCTACTTAGCAATAAGCTACGCTACTCCACTACTTAGAAAACAAATTATATGCCGCTTAGCAAAAAGCTGTGCCACTCCGGTACTTTGCAAAAAGCTATGCTACTCCATTACCTAGCAAAGAGCTATGCTGTTCCATTACTTAAAAAAAAGTTATTCCACTAAGCATAAGGCCACAGCACACTGCTACTCAGCACAAAGCTATGCCACTTAACAAAAGATTATACAATATTGATCATGGTGATAAAGTCAGGTAAGCACGGAGTGTGCTATAGGCCTTCCAAGGAAGAAGAGAAGGGTGTAATTCGCGACCGCTCCCTCTAGCACCGCACCAAAGACTTTGCTTTTTCATGCTCGAACCCTTGATCCTGGATAGCTGAGTTGGCAAAGCACTTGGCTCACAATCCCAAGGTTCAAATCCTGCCGGGGGACCGAAGCCTTTTAATGTGGTTCCCCACAAGCTTACGCATTCCCGTGCCGTTACAGCCGGCCGTTGCAAAATTTCATGGAAATCGACTGATGAAACACACTCTGCGTCAAAAATACACCACCTGGCAAAAAGCTATGCCACTCCACTACTTGGCGAAAAGCTATGCTACTAAGAAAAAAGCTATGGCCACCCGAACGCGAAAAAAAACCTTACCTGGTGGATTCAGACGACGGTTTGCTCTCGGCGCTGCGAGGGGACAGTCAAAACGAAACATCAGTTTTGTATCTCGTGAAGTCTGCGACAAAGTTCTTTTGCAAGTAACGTTCATTCAGTCATTAGTACTGGCACACACATTAAACGTTGCGAGTTACATTCCCCCTACCCTACTTCAAAGCGTATGTGACACTTGTTGAAAAGGTTGTAAGCATGATTATTTTTAGTAGCAGTAGCAGCGTAGAATACCGCACATCCGCCCATTCCACATCAAGCGCCCATTCCCAAATTTGCAAGACCGGAGAAAATATGCACAGTACATTCATATGTAAAACTGATGACCGGACAAGCGCCCAATCCCCATTTTGTTTTTATTATCTCTAAATTTTGAGTGGGCACTTGCCCGGAATTTTACGGTACTATTATTGCTAAGGTAAACAATGTTCTAAAATTTATTTTAAAAAGCTATCTCCAAATGCCAAGCTTTTGTTCTTTATCTAAACAAACCATGATACTCCCACTTCTTTCGGACAGATAACAAAAAAATATTCGCACGAACCATCTCGCACATTTGGACAAGCCGTCCGATTTAAGTGACTTGCCACATCACAGAATACCGGACGAGGACTCATGCCCGCCACGTTCCCGACACTTTCAATCGGCTGCCAGGATGTGTTTTTCTCTAGAATCTAGGACGAAAGCAAAAAAAAAAAATGGCTACGCACTTTTACGTCACATGCATTGTAGAACATTTTTTTTTAAATTTTATTTTGTTTTAAATTAGCCTTAAATTCGCTTTTAGGGGCTAAGCTCCTTAGGGTCTAGCCTTGTCCGTCCGTCCATCCGACGTCCGTGCTCACATAAAAAGAAAAGATGTTTAATGGATTTCTAGTCCATCGCCTTAACCACTCGGCCACGACTGTGGGACAAGTAGGGGGCTCTGAGATGTGGTAGTAACTCAAGAGCTGGGGTTTCTGTCATGGATGAAACATTGCATGTAGCCGCTCAACGTCTATACAGGAGAGGGCGCTGCGGTCAAATGTGTATATAATTGGGTTAAACTTTGCATGCATTGGCTCAACGTTTATAGACGAGAGGGCGCTGCGGTCAAATGCTCAAATGTGTATATAACCACGTTACATACCACACATTCTCTTTCTGACATGGACCGTTGACTTAAGTAGTGGAGATGCGTTCCCACGGCTTCTAGCGGATCCAAGCTGATCCGCTAGAAGAACCACTGGCTCTGCATTTCACCGATCATAAAGCAGTAATAATGAAGTCGAAACGCAACCCGGAACTCAGCACTACCTACGAGCAATAAAAAAAAAATCAGCACCATCAGCACTACCTATGAACAAAAAAATCAGTATTATCAGCACCACCAGAGCTTCGTCCCAATCAACATCATTCACCACGTGGAGATGCGGTCTTTGTTTTTTTTTATTGCTAGCTTGCTTTTTACAAGTCAATAAAGTCTTTGACGGGGCCAATAACCCCCTTGTGTATAACAACGTAGGGAATAAATATTATTATTATTATTATTATTATAAAAAGTCCCAATGCTGACTCACACTATGTCCTCGATCACGAGGCGGCGGAAGTAGTCCTGAGGAGTTCCCGGAAGGTCCGAGACGTCCCGGTCCATTTGGGGGCAGAGCAACATGGCACGCTCCACGCTGGACATCTCCGACTACCATCCACCGGAGGGCGCAAGAAAGAAAGAGGGCCATCCGATTGAACGCTTCAATGGCAAAGACTACGAAACGCACGGATTTTCTGTCGTAGCTTCTCGTTTCATGTTCGTAACTATTTCAGTGACCTAGAAAGGCTTAGTGAGCTCATCGCCCTCTCTCGCTCATGCTTCGAAGTGAGGCGACGTATGTCGGAGGCCAACGAGGGCACTGCAGTCGACTCCTCCTGAAGCGCCCTGCATCCAAGCTACGCCCGGCCATGTGCGTTGGCGTTCGGCTTCAATGTTGGCGTTGAGGGAGACACTGCATTCTGCGTGTGCTCGTCTGCGTGCCTTTACCGTGTGGTTACTGTGATCACTGTTGTCTTGCGGTTTTGTTCTTCGACTCAAATGCACGAATGCCTAATTGCCGCCAAAACTACTGTTTTGCGCCTGGCTGTAAAACAGGATATGCTCGCATGAAGAACGCACCAAAGTTGTCTTTGTTCGGTGTACCCGAAGACAAGGAGCGGCGAAAACTGTGGACTAAGAACTTGTATCGAAAGGAGAAGACGTTGGGTCCCCTGCTGCGTGTGAATTACATTTTGAACTACAGTAGGTAGTTAGAAATTACGTGAATGTCATCAACGGTGAAGAGGTATGCGTTTAGCGTGGGAAATTAATGCTTTCAGCTAACACAGCTCCTACGATTCTTCTGAATTTTTACAGCTATCCGACGAAAAAAACACCCGACGCACACACGTGCTGATACGCACGCGATCGCAGAAGCTCGCTGGAAAGCTTCAGGAGGAGTCGGCCGGAGCAGCATCTCTCAATTTAGACACAAACCACCTCAGTAAACAGGCGTGGTGAGCCCACTACCTCATTCTAGGCCACTGTACAACTACGCAGTTGTCACTAGATGAGCTAGCAGACGGCTGCCTGTCTGCCTGTCACCGAAAACTACCTTGAGCCATCAATGGAAAACTACAATCGGTTGAAATGGCAACGTTTCTTCATGGACGATTCCCAATTCCGCTTTAGCGATTGCAGTGACATACATACTCTACGTTAATGTTTCCATGGCTCGTGTATCATAGTCGTTGACCGATTTCTTGGACGCCGATAATTAGGACTCGTTTGATATTTTGGATTTAAAGGAGGATCCGTGACCTACCCGACAGAAACAGTGCATATTCATGGTTGATGTTTCGGACAGCTTGAAGTTCAAAAGTCAGATTCGTCGAACAAAATCGTCGTGAGCGATCAGCAGGAAACTTCACTGAGAAGCCGCCATTTTAGAATCTATGTTGGCTGCACGTAGATTGGCTTGGCTTGGCAGCACTACTTGAGTACTGCTAAGGACTTGGCCATGCTACTTGAGTACTGCTACGTCCTACCGCTAGGTGATGCTATGCTACGGCTTTTTTTCTTCTCTAGCTGCGCGTCACTGTCGTCATCATTGTTACCATTTTACTTTGTTCATTCACAATTCTGCAGTCGTGGACTTGCGCCTCTTATCTCGTTCCGGCGAGTCTTGTTTTCGGACTACGTTAGCTCGGACGTCACGGCCCCGTCTGCTCTCCTGCCGCAGCGAAGTGTCGCCAAGAAGCACGGGAAGTACCCAACCATAACGCTAAAAGAAGGCAGCGATTCTCAAGCTAATACTAGAAAGTGAACGAAAGCAAGCGGAGGCGTAACCTGAAGCAAGGCACTATTAAAGACTTTCCTAAGCCTGCCTAGACGTAATGAAGGCAAGTTTTCTAATCTGCTGATTTTTTGGACTGCTCTATTATTCTGACGATTTTTCAGTCCCTGCAAAGCCCGAAAAATCAGTCGGCGATTGCATGTACCCCCTATTTCGTGCCTTTTGTAATAAATTTGTTTTCCCTCGTCGCGCTTTACGGCAACCATTGGTTTCTTGCGCGCAACCGGATCTCTCAGAAAGCAAATAAAAGGACACCGTGAGAGAGAATAACAGGCAGCAGAGTTCACCAGAATAAAGCCCATGCTAAAATGTTCTCGTGTTAAAAGCATCGTTCGTGGGCCTGGCAATGCCGTCACTGCAGCACGAGTATAGTAGGATTGCATGCTCGCAAGCAGCTTTCGAGGGTTCTATTGTGACACCACTAATAAGCCAGCTACACTACCCAGAGCGCACTTTCAGGCGTGCAAAGAACCTACTGTATAAAGATTTGCCCCTTAAAAAAAACACATTTTAGATACCCGCACATACGTGCAGTTCGCATGAGCATCTGGCTCCTGCTAAAAGCAGTGGGATCATGCTGCCTAGACTGATTCGGGAAACATGATTCCTCACCTCGTGCTTATTATTATCAATCACTTCTGTCTGCGTACAATGACGTGACACGAAGCAATGAAGAGGTATCTTACGAGCGTCGTTGGAGCGGCAGTGGAAAAACGAGTGCTTTAAACACTCTCACAATACAAACGGCTGCCGAGAGTGGCCAGCCTCGGCGCCCGCATGCAGTTTCGAAACGCCGCCACTAGGTGGCGCAAAGTTGGCGAAGGGTTTATTCCCCGTTTTTTCCAGATGCTTGGAAATTGTCTGACAATAGACCCTTTCACAAATTCAGTGCCATCTAGTGGCTCGAATATCGGTCTAATTTGTGTATTCTAATGGCGATAAGAATCCAGTAGACATTCGTCAGTGGCAGACGTATGAAAGCTGTGCCGTTCTTTGCTGTACAGTTATTTCTCTATTTGTTTCAGTCTTGATGGTGTGAAGAAACTAACGCTCTGTACGAGGTGCTCAGTCGAGTAAAACTTGAAAAAATTCTCCACATTTTATTGTCATGAGCTGCATGGGACGTGCCGAAGCCGAGCATTTCAAGGATTTACGCGACACCTTCAAACGCGTAGTGCGTAGAAGCTTATAAATCTTGTCACGGTGACATCAAACAATACAATGTACTAACGTCTGGAATGTTCAGGCTCCGCAGCAGTGCCCGTTTTCAAATTCTTCCTTCGCCGGTCAAGACACTGCCATTATCGTGTACAGATGATACACACACAAGTGGCCAGACTGAATTTTGGAAAGGGTCTATTTGAGGTTCTCCTGGTTGGTAAATACACGGATTTTATCAATGAAAAATGCGCATGTGGCGTGCGCTCACCCCAAACGGGTGGAAGTTAATCTTGGTCCAGGGCTCGTTGTCCTGCTGCTGTTGGAGGAAGTGGAACGACCGCTCGCGGGCACGTTTTGACCGCTCCGTCTCCGCCCCCGCAAACCGGACTTGCACTGCCTGGGGCTCGTCTGCATCTTCCTCTTCCTCCGCTGAAAAGTGCACCGTTAGAAACGGAATGACCTGTCCGCGGGACCCGGTCTAAGCGCACAAATCACCCCAGCTGAACCACACAGAGCACAACTGCTGACATACAACAATCGGGTCGGTAAAAGTACACGAAACACCATGCACTCATTTATTCCATTCACAAGGTAATTAAATAAACACATTCTAAATATAATTCCGATGTATTTGTTTAAAAAAATGGTGGGTACTGATAGTTCTATCTATTTTTCGGCATCTGTTGTCACTTCACTTTTTGGCACCTTACGTTTAAATACAGCAGAGTTGACAATGATGTGGACACAGCTTGTGGTACTGCCAACATGCGAGCAGGAGGCATCAGGCAACCAAGCAAGGAGGGGCACACTGATCATGCTATTATTCACACAGGATGTGTTTTATCAGCCAATTTTCATGAAGTTCTGTTATGCTCTCTGCTACTACTTTTGGTTGCTTCCGTGCAATGCTGCTTGCTACTAGGGCAATTACCTTACTCAATTTCATGTAAATTTATGCATTTTTAGGTACATGTGTGAGATGCCAATAAATGCCAATTTCCCCCACAAGAAGAAAACAAGGCGCTTATTTAACTGTTAGATGCCCAAAATCCTGTCAAAAATAAATGCCCAGAAATGAAAGCCCCCACGCTTTCCTTCACTTTCCCCTCCGGTCACACGACCACCCGGATCGAGAGGCTGCACCTCCGGTGACCGGCCGGGATATGCAAAAGTTACAAAACCTCTATCACACTGACAAAGACCAGGGAGCGATGTGTCCCTTTTCCTTGTTTGTGTTTCGTGCTAGTTTTTTCATTGTGCACCACAGACGTCAGTCAGGGCAAGACCAGGCATCAATGAGGAGGGCAGTCACATGGTACGACGTCAAACCGGAAGCGCAATGCCTCGAGAGTCATATGTGCTACGCAGCTCAGTGGCCATAGTAGTATCCGACTGCCGCCACACCAACCCAGGTTTGATTGTAACCTCAATGTCTGTGTAATGCTCCCAGCGGGTCGCTCGTTCACAAAGCTCGTCTACGATGCTCGTTCGTGATAATTTTTTCATAGAAAATGATTCGTAAAACATGTTTTGCGTTAAAACTCACCAGTGGCCGTTTCGCCGACCTTGTTCCTCACATCCGATTGGTCCAGGTAGGAGAAGCTGGGCTTCATCTGGACGATGCAGTGCAGTGGGGACAGGTGCAGCTCTCCTGAGGACGAAAGAGTTATAGTTGTGAAGCGCCGCTGCTGGCTACGGGCACCTGGCAACTGCTTGTTAAAGGTTAGTGATGGTACTGTTGGCAGCTGTTTAGCTTGGGTAGCGCTGAAGGAATGTGAGAAAACGGTCTGATTGTGTCGGAAGCATGCATGTGTTGGGACCGTTGCACTCAAAACCAGTTGTGACTCCCCTCCGATTATATCCATCCCCTGAATACCACCGCTGTCTGCTAAACGGTGGTCATTAGCAGACGGGCAGCTGTCTGCTAATCCGTCTGCTAGCGGCCACTCGACTGCTAAGGAACGTCTGCTGATCTGTTTGTGATTATACAGATGTTAGAAGCTTCACTGGGATTTCAAAGTTAATTTACCATACCTATAAGGAACAGCGTTAAAACTAATCAAGCAGCCTCATCCCAGATCAAAGTCTCAAAACACATCTGCAATATATTTGACTACACATAAGTTTAAATATGTCCAACCTAAACTTACCGTGTTTATTCGACTATAAGTCGACCTTTTGTTTTTTCGAAAATCGTGACCAAAGAATTTCGACCTACATTCGCGACCAAATTTTGCGACCCTACCGGAGGCATGGAGTTATCGAGTCACCGAGCCGGCGTTGCCGTAGAGCCGCGCTGCTTCTTGTTTTAGAAAGCTTTTGGTGCACGAAAACAGCCGAAATGGACCTCCCGCGGTGGCCGGTGCCGCTATCGCGCGCATCTCTCGGGCGTCGGGTTTCTCAATCGCGCCCCTAGCCACTAGCGTTCCCCTTGCTGGGCAACGGGGAAGGAGAGGAACGCGATGCGCCATGCACTTTGCCCTCCATCCTCGCAAACGCGCACAAAAAAAAAAACAACAAAAACGGAGGTTACTTTTGTTTGTGTCTTGAAGCGGCTCGGCCAACGCTCGGCTCGCGTGTTGCTCATGGCGACACGGCGGCTTTGCTTGCGTCTTTGTAGTTTGTCTTTCGGCGCTTCGCACCTTCTTTCGTTTCTTCTTGTCGTCATTTTACAATGGTGTCAGTGAAGTCTTGTTGCGAATCTGCGAGGATGTCTACCAAGCTGACGAAGCTTCGGACGACGATGACATGTCCAGAAGTTCTGACGGTGATTAAGTTTTTGGCATTGCCCCGTGATTTAGCTGAGAGTGATGTAAATAAAGGTTTGTTTCTTTTGGCCGAAATTTCCCCCATTCTTAAAAATAAAAAAAGAAAAGATCGACCTATATTTGAATTATTTTTTTTTATTCTCGGTGTGTCCAACAAATAGGGTTCGACCTATTTTCGAGTAAATACGGTAGCTACTGAAGTCTCAACCACAGTTGTGTTCAGGACTTCTACCATGTTAACCATCCCCTATGTTTAGTTTTCTCTTAGTTCTGTTTTCCATACTGAATGTATTACAGCTTGCAGACTTTTAACACTTTGTCACCATAGCTTCAAGTTCCAGTGAGTTGGCAACATTAAATAAGGTTGTAACATGAATGTCCGGCCATCCCGCCGATTTTTCGCTGCCCTACAAATGTCCCACAAATTGAGTCCAGTTGTGCAGACACAATAATGTGAACGTAGTCATGCAACCATACCTGGCCTGAGAAGTCCGACGGCATAGTTTTCGGCGGAGGTGACGGCACGAGTGGACGTCAAGATCTGCTTGTCCATTGTGTTGCTGTCATTGAAACACACGGAATAAAAAAAAAGGTGTTCGACAGAAAACAAAGCAGTTCACAAGAGCAAAATACTCATATTCTCCGTGCAAGGCGTTCAATGATGTTAGGACAACGCTAAAAACGGAAAGTTTCCAAGCACACGAAATGAACAGTCTCGAGAGACACAAAAGACCCATTTGCCTAGGCAGTGTATGTGGTAGTACTAAGCACACGTTGACCCTGGGCACCTCACTTTTAGCCAGAGAATAGAAGTAAGGTTGTGTTTATTTCCTGACCTCAAGAAATGCGGGCCTGGCCAAAGCGAATCCTGCACAGCCTTCCGAGACTTTGTTGTCAAATCGGTCTTTCGTGTTGTTACAGACTGTGTGCATAGAACAAAACGTCGACTTTATCCCTTACACGCCTGTAATCTCCCAGTTGTGCATCTTTACCGAGGCATCAGCCATCCATGAGCTTGTAAAACAAATGAATGAATGAACGAAATTCATCAATTTATTTGTTGGTTTTACATGCGGAGCCATAGCATTCGAGGCTATCATTTTGCGTCATTTTCAATAGTACTTTTACATATCACACCTTTCAAAGCCCCTTGCATGGGTGAACAGAATTTGTAAATAAATAATATTAACTCAGCATCATTTCCTAGTTGTTTTTGTCTTATTTCAGAGTCTTAAGAAAATGCAAAATACCCACACTAGCCGCTTAATATATTTATTTACAGGAATAGTTTATTTGGTCGTATTTCCTCCGGTCATACATCTATGACATAAAATGAGAAACTAATGCCTATTTCAAAGGCAATGTAAACTGAAGTTCTAAAGTCCTTTTAACCCAAAAATTACCAAATGAAAGTCCTAGAACTGCTTGATGGCCCTTTACACAGTTCACAACTTCAACATCGTTTTTGCTTCTGCGAGTTTCTAAATAAATATTTTAAGCATTTGTCACAGAGGCTTTCCATAACTTTCAAGTAGCTACTCAACAAACTAATGCAATGGGCTAACAGAATAATTAATGGCAGAGACATTTTAAATGGGAGACAAAAACTGTTAGGACAACTGCGGCGAGACATTAAAGGCTGCTTCCGACATTTAGCTTTGAGTCCGGTCGACCGCTTTAGGGTGCTTTTTGTTTTGGTACAACACGTTGTGTGGACTTCGGCTGCCGTAGTAAGCATCTCGTCGTAACCAGTCACAGGTGGGCGCTACGCAGACGGTCGTGCTCAAATGGAAAGGTATGAACTAGGGCTGGGCATCGACTAAAAGTTTTAACCCAATTAATCGACACCCTTTAATCGATTAATTGATTGATTAATCGGTCTCATTTATTTCTATGCAAAATATTGCAAAAGCATTTTTTTTTTTGCTATGTTATAAACAGTGCAATACACAACTTGGATTATGAATTAATCGCAGAATATTACTTTTGCTGCGTGAGGCAAAGATGTTCGTTGATATCCTCTGGAAAGACCAACCTCCTTTCATTGTTCACAATAGCCTCTGCTGCACTAAAGAGACACTCTAACGACATTGAACTGGCCGGGGACATGTGTAACCTTCTGCACTCATTTGGAGTTACAAATATATCGCTTCTACAGCTTTCTTTATTCTAAAGTTTGATATAAAGTTTTCCCTTCATACAGGTGTACTCGTTCACGTCTGCGTGGTGGAAGTGTTTAATTTTTAGTTTTTTTGGTTCGTCAAAATTTTACCGATTAACCGATTCAAAACATTTAATCGCAATTAGGTTGGTTAATCTATCAATTTCCCAGCCCTAGTATGAACTAGCTTATGTTTTCAAGTTCAGTGGGGGAAGCAAGAAATGGTTCTTTTTCAACTCGGTCACCTCTGGAAGAAGGGTTCCTTGCCCTGGTCGGACCCAGTGTTGGCGTTGGCCGCAAACTGCTCCCCGCGCACGTGGTCGTAGCTTGGGTCGTGAGTGTTGAGCGCAAACTCGAGCTCCACCTGAGAAAAACAAAGCGGCGACTGTGACACCTAATGGCCCACCTCGGCGCAAAACGGTACAGATGCACCGGAACGATGAAAGTACCAGGCCAAACTCGAAAAGAAAAGAACCGCATGCATGGCCAAGAAAGAACCCGTACTTCTAGAATATTCGTGCTTGCTTTTACCCCAAGTGTAATAGACGAGGAGGACAACTTGGCCGCGCCGAGACAGTCACGACGTCGCTCGATGCTCAAACATTCTAGGCCGAACGTTCGAGATACTGAGTGTGGTAGAGATAAGGAGCCCAACGTGGCCTTGCCAACTCCCTCTCTCACTAGTCAGCCGTCACGCCGATGCCTTGACGCTGGCTGCCGTTTTCTCGACGCTTGTCCTTTCTTGTGTTCCTCGCACAAGTTCGTCGATTAAACCTTTATTTTCAGTTCTACACTCGTCAACCCTTTTCCGTCCGCAACAATATTACCTGTACGTTTAGACAGCGGGAAGTTGGCCTCAATGGGTGTCTAGTGTCTCCGCTGCAAATCATCTAGCGCCTCCGCTGCGAATGAAAAATTTAGCCAGTGCAGTACCACTAGCCTGTGGCCGTTGACATACATTGCCGGTAGCGACATAGGACTGTACGCCAGTACGATGCTCACCCAGATTGAGATGGGCAGGGGTGTGGATTGAGCCCAGGGGCTTTCATACCACATGCTCCAAGACACGGTGCAATCAAACACTCGGACACCGACCCCGACACCCCCCAAAATTAATTTTTTTTATTTTTTGACAGGCGATTTATTATGGCGTCAGAAGACTACTAAATCAATATTTTGCTACAGCGTCACATATATTTTTAATAAAGTAAAAAAATGCAACTGCCCGAAATCAAAACCAAAACTGGACTGGGGAGGAAGAAGAAATATAAAGGAGGAGAGAGGTGGCGGAAGTCACGCGGCTGCAATACTTTTTTTCCCCCCAGTCAACGCATTTGCAGCTTTTTAGAGGCCCCAAAAGATAGGTAACTCTTTTCTATTTTTAATATTGTGTGCGTGCCTTCGATGACCTACCACTGATTATATTTGGTGGTTGTGTCTAAACCTTAGAAAACAGCCCGTGACCACGGAAAAGAGAGTGAGCGCGACTCAAACCGGCCAGTTCTCGATCGGAGGTTTTCGGGCAGAAAGAAACCGAATTTCGAGCCGAAAATTCTGTTCTGGGTAGTTGGGCTCTCATATGTCACGTACAAGTAAATACCTCGGCGAGCATAAATACCCTGTCAGTGTCCCTTTACGACACCACCGTAAGGTACCTGGCAAGCGCTCACCCAAAATTTGAAGATAACCTTAAAGAATTGGGGGATGGGCACTTGTTCAGTCCCAAATCAAAGATGCAGAAGGGGCACTTGATAAGGCAGGCTTCACTACTCTGCCCTGGCATACTCGGAAATGCGGCTGATGCAAGGGAGCGCTAGGTGGGCTCAGAAGTCTGGGGTGGGTACCTGATATATCATTTGCCGACATCATCAGCTTTGAAACCACGCCAAACGGCTCTTGAATGCTTCTCGCCAGTTCCCAGATCTGAAACCACGCGCAAAGCTAGCAGACGGAGCTTTTTGCACTCCCATTCACCGGACACGCAGCACCATGGGGTGGACAGTCGTTGAACCTGACGCCGCGCGTCGGTTTCAACAACCGGCCATTCTGTGTTGCGGCGTGACCGTCAGCGCGCCTACATGCGGAGAGGAAGTACGATGTACATGCTTTCGCATTCACAACTCATAAGAAGTGCTTAGGTGTACCTCAATCTATTTTTTTTCAAACCTACAGAAGTAGTGGGTGGGTGCTTATGGCGACATAGACGCATGCTTGGTAATTTACGGTATGTCTCTTGGCGACACTTAGGCCGTCAGCATTGAGCTTCACTGGAAATTGTGAGAATTATTAGGGTGTCTAGCATCTATTTATTTAGTAATGGTGCCAGTTCTGTCCGGAAATTTAATAGTGTGCTAACAAAATGTTTGGTGGTCTTTGTTACAAAGGATATTTTGATTGTGAAAGGTAAAGACGTGATTGGGGAACACATGTTATGCAGGTCATCAAGTGAATATATGCTGGGAAATTGTAACATGGGCATTAATCGAAGTAGAGGGAAATAAAGCATAATAACTAATAAATAGCATTATACAGATCAATAAAAATACATCAATATCAAAATAAAGAGAAATGCCTGGGAAGGACAATAGTTCAGAACATGTGTCTAAAGCAAGAAATATTGCATGTCACATTGATCTTGTTATCTAAATGACCTTAAAAATATGGAGCGAATAATGCAGTCAGGTAGACCATTTCATTTGAATGCTGGATGCAGAAAAAAAAAGATATTGCTTGCGTGTCAACATTTTCTGGCCTTTTCCCTACGTAGTCATTTTACAAAGCTCCTGTGCTCATTTTTAGAAGAAAGAAAACAACAAAAACATTATACAGGTTTGATTATGCTGACAAAGACCAGGAAATATGATGTTTTCTCCCCGGCTAGATTTTTTTTTAATTTTTTTATCAATTAAATGTATGCTATTTTATTAATTTATTTTATCTTATTTCATTATTTTCATTTAAAACCTGCCACTCTCGCCGGCACGTTTGCATTCAAATAAAATCATTTACCCGTCCAGACCAGCTGTACTACTCACTCAACTGTAGTAAAAAAAAAAAGTGCTAGTAGCTTGATGGTTATAGTCTCAGACTGCCACTGCACTGACCCAGGTTTGAGCCCCGCTGGGGACTCAAGCTTTATATATTAACTTTATATATAACCTCAACGTCTGTAACACTCCCGGCGTGTCACTTGATTATGACGGTCATTATGACACTCATTCACAGCGACTTTATGGTAGGAAATGACTCGTAAAACAGATTGTGCTAGAAGTCCTGAAACACTAAAAACTACACTGTACTGCAGATGTCAAAAGAACCACAGGACTTGTGTTTCGAAACTTTCCGGACTTAACATTCCCAGAAGTACCAACCAGCCAAAAGGAACCCCGACACACACGGCTCGGCTGACTCCCCTGGGACGTTATACAGTAGCGTCCAGAAAACATTGTTATAACGCCTGTCGACATTGTTACGACTCAAAGACATTGCTTTAGCATTTGTAGACACTGCCACAATGCCCCAAGGATGTATCTATAGTGTTTGTGGACGTTGTTACGTCGCAAAAACGTTGTTATAATGTCCATAGACGTTGTCGAAACACCTGTGGACAGCAAAATAATGTCCAAACAAGGTCGTTATAACGTCCGTGGTCATCCTAACAACGTCTATGGGACTGCGTTTCACCTAGGTGGTGCTTAAGCCTTTCGAACCTACAAGCCAACGAAAGCACCTGATAAAGTGACTCTTATCCGCTACTTTCCCTTGCAGATGCTATGCCCAAACTCAACCAAATCCGATTTGCCCCGTTCGTCTGCTACGACATCTGCAATGTAAAGTCTGCAAGCCGAGCCCGCGGCCAAAGGGTGTACGGAGACACCTGCCTTGTGCTGCTTGGGCTTGACCCGCGCGTCGAGGCAATGCTCCTCATCATACGACAGGTTGGCAGGCCGTAGCGGGTACTGGAGCAGGTACAGGCGGTCAGCAAGTGCCTTGGAGATGTACACGTCCAACTGGAAGCAAAAAACGGACGTGGAAATACAGTGGTGTCTGGTTCTTGCGCGGCTCATGTGCTTTAAAGGCAGACAAGCAGTCAGAAAGGAGGAAACTCTCCCTCAACTCCTCCTTTCCATTTGAGAAAAAGGGAGATCCCCCTGCCTTCTGTGAGGAGTAGCTCAGCGATCCGCTATTGTGGGGACAGGAGGAAAGAAGAGAGTGAAAGGGAATGGAGAGAAGGAAACTAGGACCCTGTTCTCTTTATTCTTTATTCAGGTAGCTCCTGCAGCGCCGTTGAGGCATTATTGCAGGGGGCGAACAACATAGAAAAAAACATTTCTGCATTTGCGGCACAAACAGTTTCAACACTTAAATTGTTCCAATGCTTAAGTGCAAGTGCAAGCATAATCTGTAAGAGGTTGAACGTAGGTAAGGTATGCAAGTTCTTTTATTTTTTGTGTAGACCTTTTTAGATTACGCTGGATAAAACCGAGTGCCCGTCCCGCCCTCATGACGACATCGTCAATCTGCACATTCCACTTGCAGTCTGCTAATAAGGTCACCCCCAGGTACTTTACTTTACCGTCATTTTTAGAGGTTCATTATTTAAATAATACTGAGTGTGAAGTTTATTTTTTTTGCGGGTGAAGGTGACATGTACACATTTGCTGACGTTTAATTGCAATTTTGATAGACTGCACCAGAGTTCAATTTGATCCAAATCAGCCTGCAGTTGTCTGGAACCCTCATCATTTTTTATACATCTATATACAACACAATCGTCAGCAAACAATCTTAGCTGAGAGGTCACGCCAACGTGAATATCATTTATAAATATTAAGAACAGCAAAGGTCCAAGTACCGACCCCTGTGGCACGCCAGAGGTAACTTCAACAAAATCTGATGTTTCACCATCTAGAACCGTACATTGCCGACGCGAACACAAATATGCCTGTATCCAATTATGTATTGAAGTATCTAGATTCAAAAGTGCCAATTTTAACTGTATCAAACGCTTTTCTAAAATCAAGAAACACACAATCAATTTGCTCACCCCTATCAACGGTAGTAACAAGATCATGATAAAATTCAGTGAGTTGTGTAGTACAAGAATAACCCTTTCTAAATCCATGTTGATAATCAATAAAAAAAAAAGTGAAAGCCGTTTACAACTCCCTGTAACGCCGAATTAGAGCGCAGCTCTTGAGGAGGAGGAGGGAAGGGTACTGGGGGGGTCAAGTGACCTTGGGTGGGGGTCACGTGACCTAGGGGGGTCACGTGACGATGCCGTCATCAGAAACGATGACGATGCGGATACCGATGACATCATCAGTGACGTCACTGATGACGTCATCAGTGATGATGACAATGACGATGCGGATGCCGGTGATGTCATCAATGATGATGACGATGACGATGCGGATGCCGGTGACGTCATCAGTGACGTCACTGATGACGTCATCAGCGATGATGACGATGACGATGCGGATGCCGGTGACATCATCAGTGATGATGACGATGATTATGCGGATGCCGGTGACGTCATCAGTGGCGTCACTGATGACGTCATCAGTGATGACGACAATGACGATACGGATGCCGGTGACGTCATCAGTGATGATGACGATGACGATGCGGATGCCGGTGACGTCATCAGTGACGTCACTGATGACGTCCTCAGTGATGATGACGATGCGGATGCCGGTGACGTCATCAGTGATGATGACGCTGACGATGCGGATGCCAGTGACGTCATCAGTGACGTCATCAGTGACGTCACTGATGACGTCATCAGTGATGATGACGCTGACGATGCGGATGCCGGTGACGTCATCAGTGACGTCACTGATGACGTCATTGGGGGTCACGTGACTTGGGGAGCCACGTGACTTTGGGTGTCACGTGTCCTTGGGGTCACGTGACCCTTGGGGAGGGGTCACGTGACCTTGGGATGACCTTGGAGGTCAAGTGACCTTGGGATGACCTTAGTTACGCCGACGGCGACGCCACTCAAGCCGGGAACGGGCCCCTAAGAGCTGCGCTCTAAAAAGTTCTGAAACGTGAGATGTTGCATTATCTGGGAATATAAAATGTGCTCAAACAACTTGCAGCAAACCGACGTTAAGGAGATCGGCCTGTAATTTGTGACATGATTTTTGGGACCTTTCTTATGTATAGGAGTAACATTAGCTAACTTCCAGTCCCCTGGCAAAGCTCTATTAAGTAATGACTTGTTAAATATTATGAAAAGGTAAGGCGCTATTGCGTCTGCACAACTCTTAAGAACCCGAGGGGAAATTTTATCAGGGCCCATCGCTTTGGTTTCATCTATATGTTCCAAAAATTAAATACACCTTCCATACTGATTTCTACGGGTGGTATCACATCGTAATTGCTTGAATACATTTCTAGTGTTGTATCTTCTGGAGGCAGAAAGACTGATTTAAAATAATTGTTAAAAACGCAAGCTTTCTGCCCTGCGTCAGTGAGTTGTTCGCCATATACCATTATATCAGGTATTCCCATCTGATCATTACCACAGAGCTTCATAAACTTCCAGAGCTGCTTATTGTTAATTTTCATCGTGTCTTCAAGACGTTGAAGATAATCCGGTTTAGATTTTTTTGCGGTCTCTTTGTACGTCGTAGTCAATTCCTTTAATATCTGGAGGTTTGAGGCCGAACTTTTCTTTTTATATCTTGCGTACGCACGCTTGCGTTTTTTAATAATTCTTAATAGACCACCATTGATCCATGGTTTTTCTCTTTTCTTTAGCTTACGTACGTCAATACTTGGAATGTATTTCTCTGTGAGGCCAATAACTCTCTGTTTAAAAAGCATCCACACGTCCTCAACACTCATTTCTTCAGCAATACATTCGAAAGAAAGGAAGCTCTCGCGAAGTTCAGAACTGATACCCTCATAATCACCCCTTGCGTACAAAAATATGTTTCGATTTGCATTCATTTTTTTACGGGGAGATTGAAAACTGAGCGTGGCCACAATAGCGTCATGATCGCTAATACCAGGAATGACGTCAACTCGTTTAACAATGCCAGGATAATTACAAAATAATGAATCGAGTATGTTCGAGCCACGCGTAGGTGTGAGAACATGCTGTGTGAAGCTCAAAGTGTCAACCATGCATTTTAAATCAAGGTTTAAACGACTGAGTGATCCACAGGTACACATTTCGTCACTCCATATCATATCTGGAAGGTTAAAATCCCCACCAAGTAGCACACAGTCATTAGAAACACTAGAAACCAGATCGCTAAGTTGGCATAAAACAGTGGGGTCAGAACTTGGGGGAGCCCGGCAGTAGACGGTTCTGCAGGTCAGCCTTTAAAAGAACACTAAACTTCCAAGAAATGTTTATGAAATTTTTATTGATATGTCTCTCTATAGGACACTAATGTAACAAAACAAACTTTCCCCGAAAAAGAACACAATTAAATAGTGCAATATTTATGTTGCAAGATTCGTTTGAGTGATTCTGACGTCCAAAAAACGAGCATATTTTTAAATTGCTCCCAACTTAAGATGTGACTTTGCAATGTGAATAATTTGCTAATCTTTCTTTAGTTTATATTGTGATGTATGTATCCTGTACAGGCACTTAGAGAAAGAATATGTTCTGCGAGCTCAGTGTCTTCTTAAAGGGACCCAAAAACAATTCCATTAGATGAACATTAGATGACCTTGGCCATCTAATGTTCACAATAAACTCTTCACATCCATAAAGCATTCAGCAAGTATCCCAGTTATTGCTTACACACACCAAATTAAAACAAAAAGCATTAGGTTTACTCTTTTTCCTCTTTTACAATTTGTTTATTTGCTTTTATACTACAATGCCCTGCACCTCCTCATCCCTCTTATAATGCATCTATTAATGCCTTAAGGTTTAATAAGTGGTGATGATGATGAACTGCCTATTTATCACCTCGACTGAGCGGCTCCCCCCCCCCCCCCCCCCCCTCCCCTCCAAAAAACAAAGAAAAAAAAGGATTCTCTCTGGGCAACGAGTAATTTGTCTAGTTGGGGAAGTAGAAGGCAAAAAGGCCTTATGCTTGACAATTGAAAAAATAGGTAGAAAAAAAAAACATGCCAGCCAATAGCCGGTTCAGAGCAATATGGGTCACAGAAAGTTTACACTGACGTTCCAGATCGCATGAAGGATAGGAGTGTCCAGTTACACACTGCCAGCTTCCCTTCCACAGTCCCTGTATGCAAAGATAGAAACATTGGAGCTTTTTGGTTTCCTTTGGCTTGGTGATGCTAAAACCAAATAATGGATTCTGGCTGGAAACCATGCTACACCATGACTGCTAGGAGGCATGTGCTGGTTGGTGATAGACAGTACATTAGCATCCAGGCAATGGTCATCCCCTGCTCAGCTAATAACTTTACCTCAATGTCGGACAGACAATTGCAATTAATGTTCTCACTCGTCTATATATATACAGCTCTACAGACTACATATTAAAAGCAGGTTGACATCATGCAAGCAAACTGCATGCATGGCGAGCTGATGTCAGAACTCATAACAGCAACAATGACTGTGATTCAGTTAAAATTGTTTCCTTCCGCAACGCTCCTCCCTCACCACCGGACATGACATTTTCGAAAAGGCGCCGGAAAGAATGTTTCAAGCCACCGTCGTGACAAATGAAATGAGGCGGGCATGCAAAGCATCCGACGTCAGGTGTTGGACCGTAAGACTCCCAATTTAATTAAACTATTTGCCTCCAGGGACGCTGCCCAGATCTGATTCAAACTCAAAACAATTATTAACATGTGCTCAAAACACACATAAATGTGGTCCTATTCACCACTACATGGCTTTAATGTGACTATAAGAGCAGTGTTGGGTAAAGTACATCTAAAGAGTACTGAAAGTAAAGTAGAAAGTAAATGAGAGGTTATGCACTTCAAGTAAAGTAGTAAGTACACTGGGCGTAGCATAGAGCACTGCACGGGCCGGAATTTTTAGGCCCGGCCCGACCCGGCCCGGTAACGACACGGCCCGGGCCCGGCCCGAGCCCGACAGAATTTTTAATTTCTAGGCCCGGCCCGACCCGGCCCGGAAGAGACACGGCCCGGGCCCGGCCCGAGCCCGACAGAATTTTTAATTTCTAGGCCCCGCCCGACCCGGCCCGATGGCTGTAGCCAGAAACAACCCATTCTCGTTTGAACCCGTCCCGTTTCGACCCGTTCCCGAAACGAGCTCCCCATTCGAACCCGTCCTGTTTCGACCCATTCTTTAAACGCCCTTCTTATTCGAACCAGTTTCCGAAACACCCTTTGAGTTTGAACGCGTCCCGTTTCAACCTACTTTTATAAGGCCCTGCACATCGCAACCTCTTCGCAAAAAGTCTCCATCGTTCTAAGCCTGGTCTGCCCACCTTTTCTGTTTAAGAATATGTTCTGAAGTAGCTTTACATGTCAACGCGTTCTTAAAATATACAACCCTTTCAGGCAAGCTTAAGTTTAATATATTCCTACTTAACCCCTTAAAACGTTTTTTTCAAGATCGTTCCCAACGGGTCCGGACATTTCGTCGAACGCCGTTTCATCGAACGCCGTTTCATCGAACACCGTTTCATCGAACGCCGTTTCATTGAACGCCGTTTCATCGAAGCCGTTTCATCGAACGCCTTTTCATCGAACGCTGTTACAGCCTGCAATATTTTTGCAATTTATTTTGATTTTTATACATAACGTCATCTATATCTCCATTTTTTTTTAAATCACAGTATGCAGTGACGAGATAAGTTCCATTGTGAACATGTCCTGCTTCGAGAAGAAAGCCTCCATGAAACAATGACCCCTCTTCACGTCACATAAAACGATTAAAAATGAGACAAAAAAAAAGAAAGCACGATGTGCTTTCTCGGAAGCGGGTAGTGTTTTATTGTTTGACAGCGTGTATCTGTAACCTTGGGTTATGTGAGGATCCGAAAGGGTGACAGAGTACACCCAGGGCTTTACTATTGTCTGGTGCGGGTTGGCCTTCCTAAGAAAGCGTCCTGAAGATGATTCATAGGCAAAAGGGTCGGTAATAAAATGGACAGTGAAGGGGAGGTGGATCCAGTCCAGGTGTAGCCCGAAACCATGCTGGCTGACACCTTGCGCAGCTTTTGACACTGTAAAGTTTAAAAAAAAAAAAAAAAAAAGCAGAAACGTTCAATCTGAGCATAAAGCTGATAATCAGAGTATCGTTATATTTTCTTTCGTGTGCTCTCCTTGCAGAGTATCGTTTTATTATAAGCGTGCTGCCCTGGCAGTTAAATGCTTTTCGTGAATAAACCTTCAACTAAGCGTATGTGTGCAAATGAGCTGGTGTGAATGGCACATTACCGAAACCCCCGGACAGCCGGTAAATAAAAACGACACAGACATTCAAAAGTGTTTTAAGTGTCGGTCCTTTACCTCCAGTGTCATGTTTTCTGACAGGTACATGAGTAAAACTTTTCAGTAAGTCGCATACCCATTTGTTTTTATACAAATGGTTTTTATTTCTAGTAATTTGGCTCCACCCTAAAGACAGTTCTTTAAGTGACTACCTTAGTCTTAACAAATGTAAGGTAAAACATCTATAAAGCACTGTTATGCCTCAAAGGTCGATACAGAGGAATTCGATGAAACGGCCCTAAGCGATTCGATGAAACGGCGTTCGATGAAACGGCGTTCGATGAAATGTCCATTCATTCGATGAAACGGCGTTCGATGAAATGTCCGCTACCCGGTTCCCAAAACGTGCAAGCGCGGAACGGACTAGGTACACTGCGCGACACTGATATCGCGAACACGACGTTGGCTCTTTTTTCGAATTTTACTTCGAAATGGTGTTAGTAGGCACCAAAGTATACCGCTTAGGTCTGTGGCCCAGATGAGCACTTCTAAAGACACTAATAGTTTTGAAAACAGCGTTTTTATTCTATGAGATAAACATAAAAACACGACGATCGCTATTTTTACGGTACCCAAAGCGCTTGCGTACGTTTTTCTAAATCTTCCTAATAGTGAACTAGATATTTTTGAGAGCGATGAATCAGACAGGTTGACAAGCATATGACTGGGACTTTATTTTGTTTACAATTTATAACACTGAACCCTTGCTCACACGGAAAAAGCTTGAAGGCTTTCTAGCTTCAAGACGTCTTCTAGTTATTATTTTTAACGACGTTGTAGTAAATTTGCACTTCGCTTTTCTGTATTCAATGAACCTAAAAGATTGATGAGCCAACTTCTTGCTATCAACAACAATTTATGATTTACAGCACAAGATTGCCCAGGCACGGCCCGGGCCGGCCCGGGCCCGCGCGGCCCGAGAATTGTTTTGTTCAAGCCCGAGCCCGGCCCGGGCCCGAGAAAATACGAGCTACCTGGCCCGAGCCCGGCCCGCGGGCCGGGCCGGGCTCGGGCTTTCGGGCTGGCCCTGGCCCGTGCAGTGCTCTAGCGTAGCATACTTAAAGTACTATAAACACCAGGTACTTCCAAAATAAAGTATGAGTACTTTTTAACACAACCTTTTATGACCTCCTTTCATTCCCTAATAGAGTGCTTTTTAAAGCTGTAGTTTTATAGGGCCTACCAAATTCCAAGACTGAATTTTACGAATAAAGTTTGTCCGCAAACAAAATTAATATTCCTAAATTTTTTTTTTTTTTTTTTTTTGATTTGAGGTAGTTTTTTGTTTATCTTGTCAAGGCTCGTGCTGTACAATGAGCCAATGCACTTTTGGACCACGACAAAAGCCACTGGTTTCCAGCCTTATTCTTATTCGAGGGAGGAGGAGTTGCATTTTCATAAAAGTGAAAATGTGAAAGTAGATATCATAGGACAAGAAGGGCAACTGAGTGTTTTATTCATCCAGGTGCTTGGCTATTTCAAAGTACCGACGTTAATCGAAGTAACATTTTTTTTAGATTTGTCGTGGGGCAATTAGTACTGCCAATCACAAGGACGGCAATGCCAAATGCAGCTGCAGAAATTCGGTACAGGTGATTTTTTTCATTAATGTAATGTATGTTTAAACATGAACATAAAAAAGTTAAGTTCAGAATTTCAGAGAATTGGGAATCAAACAAAAATAAACTTCGATAGAACCCAAATCTCTAGCAAAATATTAACTCGATATAACACCCTCCGAATTTCACAAAAAATAAACTCTGAAAGCATGAAATCCTAATCAGGCGTTATTTTTGGTCAATAGACTTCTTGCAAAACCGAAGCGATCCTATAAGCAGTGACAGGTTAAGAGTGAAGTGGAAGCCCTTCCCACCTCTTTTCACTTTAACAGGGTGAACGCTGGAGAGGAGGTTGCCTACCCTTCAGCATTCACTTTGCTAAAGTGAAAAGAGGTGGGAGGAGCCTCCACTTCACTTTTAACCTGTCACCCATTATAGCAGCAGAATGTTGCACAAAGCATCTTGAAAACCTCTTGCTCACCGTTTCGCTTTCGATTTGCAACCTTCAATTCGCTACCTTCCGTCACAACCAAACACAGTGCTTGCATTTTCGGACATGCGACAACCCTTAAATTTGTTATACTTGAAGGTGTTGCCTATCAATACGGATAGAATGTTGGGCACATTTCTTGGGGGCTCCCAACGCACCAGGGTTTGTGTGCAGGTAAAGAAACGAATAAGTGGTAGCTTACTGGGTCGATCCTCCTGTTCCATCGTCCCAATGTCCTGGACATCTTAAATGATCCATAACCTGGGAACGTCATGCTGCACTATGGAGTTGTAGTTGGGCTGCCAGAAATGTGCGAGATGCGAATGGCCATATTCCTACTCCTTGTTCAGTTTATGCAGGTCCTTACAACCGCTAAAGGTCAGTGTTTCAATGGGGGCTCTCACGGAGATGAATGCGTGAAATGCAAGCGAGTGCAGACTTCATTTTCAAGCAGTGTCGAGGTGCACTATTTCGTCAACAGGGCAATCGAAATCGAAACCATGCCACTCCTCTCCATGGCCAAAGAAACCCCAGAGTGCAATGCATTCAGTGTTGCATGCAGGGATTTTTAGAAGCATTCCTTTCTGAATATCTAAGCTGTAGGTAATCAGTGAGGTTGGAAAAGCTTAGCAAAAAAATTATCTGGATGCTGTAATAAATAGTAGCAGCGTCAACCAAATGGTTTGTTGCTGTTTTTGTTCTTATTTACTCCCGTTGCACAGGAAATATTAAGTTCTTGTATGTTTTTTTTTTTTTTTTTTTCTCAAACTTACACTGGCGAGATTTTAATGACAAATGCACCACCTATAAACATCTTCGTAAAAAATTTTATTAGCTTTTTTTTTTTTTTTTTTTTTTTTTGCGTTTTAATAGCGTTTGAGAACTGCAGAACCGTTTCAACGTTCTCCTGCGATGCAAGAGAAATTGACAGTTGGCATCATGCCTACCGTTGCAAATTATACGCCTGCCCCCGTTGAAGCTGGGAATTAGTGTTTTAATTAACGCCTCAAAAGCTAATAACCAAGTTGCATCATGCACGAGCACGAGCGGTTGGGCCAGAAGCGCGCGAGCTAAACTCAACAGGTCACTGGCATGCCTCGCACGCACAGTAAGCTTTATTTGCTCGATACACGGACCACTGCTTTCATTCATATTTGCTGTTCCTTGCATTTGCCTCTGTTGAACAAAAGAAAATGCGGCGGCAATATCGTCGCCAGTGAAACGCCACAACCATGCCGCTTTGCTGCACCACTCTGAAACCGAGTATACCCTTGGTTCGCCAGCCCTGTACGCTGCTGATCGAACGACGATGTGTTAGGAACGGCGCCTAGAATGTGAGAACAGCGATAAAAATAACATTGACGAGCTACATACCTCCTGGACAACTTCATCGTTGTCGGAGTCGTGCATTGCACAGTTGGCGACCATCGGGCAAAATCGGGAACGAGCTTTCGAAAAATGTCGCTGGATAGCGCCACATTACAAAGAAGTGGATAGACACCACGCGACTAAACTTCACGAATCAGGCGGTGTTTTGCGCCGCCTAACCAGTGTGTACAAAACGTATTAAAGCGACACTGTGACTAACGTTGACTGTGACAGGATATTTATGATCGGCAAGGTTTTTATTTGTACATGACATATGAAAACACAACAACCCAAAACACAATTTGCGGCTCGAAATTCGTTTTCTTTCCACCCGAAATCGGCGGGTCATCGAAGGCGCACACTCAATACTAAAAATACACAACCCATTTTTATGGCTTCTAATAGGAGGGTGCATAAAAAGTTTAAACGATTTTGTGCCCAGTGTGACTGCAGATCTGTCTAACGATTGGTGCACGTGACATGTCACGTGCAAGATGGATGGTTGATTGTAGGAGGATTTCTTGCAGGCTTGCGTGCGCTCCGTCCGGTAGGTTTTATCGAAGGCTAAACGGAGGCTAGCTACGGTCACGTGATGTGGTGAGGGTAAGGAGGAAAATGAGAAAGAGGCGAAGCGTCAAGGGAGCATGGCTTGTGGAGGCTACACGGCTGACATCATGCCCTCTCCTACCCTTCTATTCTCCATGAAATACGTCGATTGGAAAAAAAAAAAAAATTAGCACAGCCACGTGACTTATAGTAACTTTCTCCATAGAGTTATTATAATGTACGCTAGAGGTTCAAGTGGCGCTAGTGTGCTGACGCAAATTGAAGCAGACAGCAACCAGTCCGAAATTGACTTCCGGTAATGCATTTCTATGGGAAAAAGTGAGTGCATTTTCTCCCTGCGCTCGATCATAAATGCAAATATCCCGAATAATTCATACGTACAAGGTAGCTTGAAACAGTTCTCAGTCAGGCCGATGCAATAATCGGTCAGTTACGGCGTTTTTCTTTCAAATTCATCGCATTTGAAATGGTGCTAAAACGCCTTCGTACGTGTATTTGTGTGCACTGTCGGACACTGTTAGCGCGAACACGACGTCGGCGCTTTTCAGCAAGGACATCTAGAAATAAAGGACTGCGAAAAGTACGCAGCAACACTGGATCAGCCACTACCCGTGCATGTACGATCAAAATAAATTGAAGACCATGTAATATATTCCGATTTTAAATAAGTAAGTATACCGCTTTATTCTTTCTGCTCTGTGCGAAGATGCTTGTTCTAAGTTCAAAATATCACCCGCACGCTCGAAATCCTTGAGAACAAGTGTCCGATAAAAGCTGCCGTGTAGAGAAAACAATACGAAGAGACACCTTTCACAGCCCACATACTTTATTCTTTACGTTTTGAATGTTTTTATCCGCTCATGCACGACGGGGTCAATTTTATATAGTGACAGGACCGGCATATTAGCAATATATAAGCGTCACCGGAATGCTGGCGAGCCTTGAACACACTCTATATTCCTTTCGATTGTAATTTTGCTTTGAATCGTCGCTTGTTTTTACATACGTCCTGCGGAACACACGTTTGGGATTGAAATCTCGCGAAGTTAAACATCGTTCACTGATGAAGAAAAATGCGCAAACTAAAGCAATTACACTTTTACAACGTTAATCAAGGTACATACAATTCGGTACGACCCAAATAACCGAAGTGCTCCGTGTTATTTCCCGTCGAAGAGACAAAATGCACGTGTGTTTTCCCATAAGAATGCACAGGAAGACTGGAAAAGTAGACTGGTTGCTGTCTGCTTCAATTTGCGTCACGGAAGTCGCATAGACACTAGCGCCAGTTGAACCTCTAGCGTACATTATAATAACTCTATGACTTTCTCCCCTACCAATTGCGTTTTTTTGTTTTTGTTTTGTTTTTTACTGTATTAAAAATATACGTCAAGCAAAACATTTTTTTTTTATGAGGGGGGGGGGGGTAGTATCTTTTAAAGGAATACTTCAACGAAATTTGAAATATTTCCGTCGTGTTCAAAAATAGGTTGAATATGATCCACAATATCCGTAAATGACAATCGCACGTTTGTATTTTGATCCTGGTGGCTGTATTTTTCGTTATAAACGGCCCACTCTGGCAAGCGCTTGGAGAAGGCCCAGCTTAGAGCACGTGACATCCACCGCAATCGTGACGTAGGTCGTCTCAAGACGAGCAAAGCTACGGCGAGGCTGACGTCGAGAGTATGGCCTAGTCATTCCAGCCACTGAAGCGGCTGCTTTTGTACGAATTTTGAGTGACGGGTTAATCTTCTATAATCTTGTAGGGGGACAATAGCGACTTCTGTGACACACAAAAGGCATTCTCCGAAAGAGGGGAGTTCCTCCTGCCCCACTTCTTTCGTCGTGGCCGGAGGCAAGACAACCTCCGTCACTAGCTGTCAAGGTTCCTAGACGGGCATTAGAAGCGAGACGTTAGCGACATCCACCAGGTGCCCTTTTCTAATGGTTTAATTCGTTTTAAAATTCCTTTTCGTGACTTTTTTAACAAGATATTAGTATGTTCGATATGATGCTGCTTTTTTGAACACATATAGACCAAAAAATGAGCGCCGAAATTTCGTTGTAGTATCCCTTTAAAGCAGAATACAGGGTGTCTCAAACAGCGGCCAGGCTTTTCACCTTGTTACAGAAAGAATAAACAAAAAGGGCGGACAAGGACGAGGACAAATCGACCGCAAAAATCAGACTGACAAGGACAAATCGACCGCGAAAATCGGTTTTCTAACCTATCGCGCTACGATTTTTTGCACAGCGCGATAGGTTAAGAAACCAATTTTTGCAGTCGATTTAAAGAGCCTGGCCACTATTATAGGCACCCTGTAGATGTTAAAAAAAAAAATATGCTTGTTTTGTTTGCAGGGTCTGTTGTCCGCACATGGTCCGCAGGCTCAGAGGGTTAGATTGAGTCCGGTTGGATCACTGATCTCTATGACAATAAACCTTTTGTAGAAACATTGGTTCGAGAGTAAATGGTTCTAGCACCCTTTCTCTCTTCCTTCTGGCCGAGCAGAGAGGGAAGATGGTTTCGTTGTGTCGACTTCGGGCCGAAGATTAAGCACGATGGTGACAAAGGCGAGTTTGGTGGAGTTGTATCTAGGTCACAGCGCCTCAATGGGTAAACAGGATGTAGCTGACGTTTTGGGTATGGAACGGGTGGGAGAGACCTTGCGCACGTGTTGTTTTCTAGTCACGTAGCCTCAAACCCAGTCGCGTGTCTAGGTGGCAGCACATATTCGCCAAGAGGTCCATTGCCGGATTGCGCTTCCCCCTCCTGCGAGTGAAGCCACCAGACGGCCATCTTGCTCGAGGCGAAGTTGCGTTCTTGCTAGCGTTGCAGAGGCTGGCGGCAGCGTGCTGAAGAAACATTTCCTATTCGTTAGTCGTCATTTGCTGACCCTGTATAAGTGTCAAGACTCTTGCCATTGAGATTGACTGATTGAACATGTTTTATTAATAAAAAAAATGAAAGCCGTTTACAAATCCCTGTAAAGCCGAATTGGAGCGCAGCTCTTGAGGAGGAGTAGGGAAGGGTACTGAGGGGGGTCACGTCACCTGCGGGTAGTCACGTGACCTCGGAAGGGGGGGGGGGGGGGGTCACGTGACCCCCCCCCCCCCCCCCGGTTACGCTGACGCCGCTCAGGCTGGAAACGGGCCCCTAAGAGCTGCGCTCTAAAAGAAGTAAAACGCGTACGACTCTCTCTAATCAATTGTCCACTGACATCGGAGAGAGAAGTGGGTGGGGGAATGGGGTGTGGATAGGTAGGGGGGTACCAGAAATGTCTCTAATGAGATGGAGTCCTGGATGTTTGCTGTCGCGACAAAGTCAAGAAGCGAGTCTAATATAGCTTTGCGGTGCTGCGGTGCGCCCCTCGGGTGTATCCAGTCCCGAAGGCACCCCGGCCGCAGCTTAGGTTGCAGTTTTCGAATGGCTTCTTCCCGCATCCGGCTGAGCTCCACACAGTCCCATAAGAGATGGGCACTTGTGGCTTGCTGTCCGGTTGCACATCGTCTGCAAGATCCATCGTCGGCGTGTTCTCTTTCTAGATCTGTCTTGAACGCACATCTCTCGAACTTAGCCCGGACTGCTGGGGAGACGGCCGTTTCGGTTCGGAGTCTCCGAAGACGCACTGTAGCCCACCGACCGTACCTGTTTGGCAGTGGGTCATCGTCTTCAGGTAGCTTATTGCGGAGGACCCTTCTCCGCTCGAGGCGGGCAAGGGTCGCCTCCTCGTCCCAGTCAGGCTCCTCTTCGTCATCAGAGTCGTCTTGAATAAGTGCGGGCGGAGGGTTGTCGAGAATTGCACTTTGGCCTGTTGCGGGGGGGTAGGGAGAAGGAATGAGCTCCCGCGCGGCTTCGTGTGCTCTCTCGTTCCCCTCGATCCCGGCATGGCCCGGGACCCAGGAGATGGTGATTTTAACTCCTCTGGATTTGAGGGTCTTTGCTCTAGCTTTTATTTTTTTTTTTTGCCGTTTTGCTGGAGGAGTCTCGCTTCCGGCAAGTGGCTAGGGCCTCTTTCGAATCTGTGTACACGCGTAGGTGCTTGGACCCCTCTGGAGTCCAGGGACTCGTCTTCCACGGCGAATAATATGGCTCTTAGCTCTGCTTCTTTGGTCGAGTGTTTCTTGTGAAACGCAAAGTTTGCCTTAGATTCTGTTAAGGCAAAACCGTGCAATGGCTGTGCCGCCTCCGTCTTCTCTGACAGCTGCGTCGGTGTAGACGTGTACTGTCTCGGAGTCGGGACGGACGTCCTGTACGGATTCCGCGTGTTTTTTGGCTGCGTTGTTCCTTCTGCCCTTCTGGTCTTTGTCTACGTTCTGCTTCATGGGGCAATGGTCTACCACTGCCTCGTCCTCCCACGGGGGTGGAGGAGAAAAGATTGCGGGGCGGCCTATTAGCTGATACCCAAGCAGCTGGAGAATGGCCCTTCCGGGTCTGGTTCGCTCAAGTCTCTAGACTTGTGCGATGCGTCCGGGGCGAAGCGGCGTGGCTTGGCGAAGACTGGAGAGCCTTTGGTGTTGATGCAATGTGTGATGTTGTGTTTGACTGATGCCTCGGTGTTGCATGGCTGCGTTAGCGTTGGGAATTCCTTTAAAAGGTTTTTCCATGGAGCAGCCATTTTGAGGGGTTGTAAAGTAGAATTTAACGATAGTGCCTTTGATAGTACGCCTCGGATACTGAGGTGTGTTGTAGAGTCAAGGAGAAGACGGAGAAGCCAGGCTCTGAAATAGCCACCGAGCACGTCGTAAGAGACCTGGTCACCCGCACTGCAACGAACGCCAACACGCCGGAACCCTTTACTGACGACGATGATCACGGGAAGACAACTGCCGAAGAAATGCGAAGTCGCAGAAAAGTGGCGGTGTGGGAAGGTAAGCGAATCTACGAGGCTGAACACGTCGACGACCACACAGGATCTCAATCCTCGCCCGGGAGGGTTAAAGGCGTGAGAGCTACGCAGAACATTCACATTGCCAAGTCACAGCCTCCCAAAATGTTAACAGGAGTAGTGCAGCACGCTTTCGTTACATCCAAGAAAGCAACACTTTCTACCACGAAACGATGCACACAAACACGGGTAACCCCGAGCAACAAAAATGGTAAATTTTGTGAAACAAAAGTTTGCGAACGGGAGTCCGTTCACCTGATCAGTTACCTGGACTGAAGTGTCAAGCCCTGTACTAATTTTTATGATTTTGTTTGTGGGCACTACAGTACAAGACGCCGCGATTGAAAATCCTTGAAGAGCGGCCCATATGGTCGTGTGCTGTCTGTTGACCAATCACAATTAGGCGAACCACGCTCAAACTTGAAGTCACATGCAATAGTTGATAATGAGCCAGACCACTGATCAGTGATGAGGAGCTGTTGCGCAGTATTCTGTAAGCAGTCTAACGACGAAAAAGATGTACCTTCCACCCCCCCCTCTCGCTCTTGCGTCGCAACTGGACGCTGGCTGGAGCTCTTTTCTGCACTGCGAGTGTCGCAAGTCACAAATAGTCATCAGAGTAATGTAAAACTCTGCTCCAGAGACATATACGGCTTCACGCACATTGCACTCGCAAAACACATCCACACAGCATTGAATCTTGATCGGTATTCAAGCGTGCGAAGAGACGCAGCACTTGGGCATGTCAAGAAAGCTTTGATCATACAGCGAGATCGTTGAAACTTGCATTTGACGAGGCCTTTTGTCTGCGGCACTGCGCTATCGTAAAAGTTTCTCTCATTGCTTATACAGGGTCTTAAAAAACTTGTTCGCCGGATGACGACAAACGAGTAGAAAACACGTCTTTAACACGCTGTCACCAGGCTCTGCAACGCTAGCAAAAACGCAATTTCGTCACATGCAAGATGGCCGTCCGGTGGCTTGACTCGCGCTACAGCCACTGCAGCGACCAAACGGGGAAGTGCGATCCAGCCATTTTCTTTGCTTCTGTTCACAAGAAGCAATAAGTGAAAATGTTCCCAGAAAAACAAGTATGCTAACATTGTACGCTAGAGAAGCTCCCACAAGATCAGTAGGTTGGATCCCAACGGTTGTATCTTTTATAACGGGCGGCAGCTTGTGCCACTTACTAGAAGTGAAAAACCAAAAGTATGATTTCTCCTTAGCCCCTATAAGCCAATTTGATTCCCCTCTGCAATTTCATAACTATCACCAGAATGACCTTTGAGGGATCAGACAAAAAAAACGGCTTCTGTATCTATGTCACCAAAGACAAGCGCGAGATTACCTACAACCTGAATAAATCACGGCAATGAACAAAAACTCAAGTGCCACCTCTGTTTGAAGTCCTTTACCCAAACAGAGGACCTAAAACGCCGCAGATTTAGAAGGAAGCACCTTTTGTGCATTATTTGTCCAGAAGCATGCCACAAAATTGCAAGTGGCATACGCACACTGCTGAAAAGCCTTTAAAGTGCAAGCCTTGCTCCGTGCCATTTTCTCCATGCAGTCACATTCAAACATGCAAGGGTGAAAAACCTTACAGATGCCAACAATGTCCTTTAAGAGTGCGACTATGTTGTTTACATGCAAATACATATGGGTAAAAACATTGTGGGATCATTGTGGAAGCCTTGTCCGAAAGCCTTTGCTCAGATTACGAACCCGAATGCTCGTAATCGGATACACACACCCAACAAGACTTACGAATGCCAGGAATGCCCCCAAGCTTTTATCACTGTACCTCTCTGAAAATGCTATGTTCGAAAGCACACATGCAGCAAGAACGTTGATCATGTTGTTTCAAAAAATATTATTTTACTGAAATGCCGCGCAATAAACGCGAGAACGCTCATATTTTGTAGGTGACGGCAACAAACCCACCAAGGATGTCGACAGTCCACTCTACTCCACCGAAGAGATGCTGTTCAAATGCTGTTTCTGCACCTACGTCACCAAAGATCAGCGCGAGATGACCCGCCACCCGGTCAATCCCTGCAATGTACAAGAACTCGAGTGCCTGCACTGTTCGGAGCCGTTCCCTAAAGCAGAGGACCTGAAACGCCATACCGAGATCCACGAGAAGGAAGCGTTTTTCGCTTCCAGAAGCATCCCACAGAACAGCAAGCTGCAAACATAGACCAGTGAAAAAATATTCGAATGGAGGCCTTGCCCCGTGACGTTTAGTCCTGCTCACACACACGTGGGTGACCTTACACGTGTTAAAAAACAGACAAGGACAATAAGCCCTTCGTAATTTTGAGGGCTTACTCTCGAGAGTATAGCAGCAGGGTTCACATGCAAGCACGCACAGGCAGAGAGCCTCCTTACAAGTGAGAGCGCTGTCAGAGGTCATTCACCCAAGTCACAACTTTCCATATTCAGTAGGGCACACACGGTCGAGAGACCTTTCCAACGATGCTTACGGTCGTTTACTTCGAGTGGCTATTTGAGAGTACACATTCAGACGCACTCAATATACGAGGCCCTGTAAGTGCAAGGTCTTCGCTCGGATTCCAGTTCTCAATGCTTGCGTTCAGACACACGGGCAAGAGACCTTACAAATGCCAGCTATGCCCCGAAGTCTTTGCTTCGAGTAGCAATATACGAACACGCATTTTCACAGACTGTATTTCAGAACAATGCCAGGCATGCTTAGACTAGAAAGAGGATAAAAAAAATGGCATGTCCTAGAACATTTGCTATCAGTCCAGCCTGAGAAGCATAGTGCAAATGCACGCATGACAAGCCCGGTGCGATTTATGTTGTGAAAGCACGGACAGTGAATAGACCTTGTGAATTTTGGCACCTTTCAAAGGGTCAGCGACATAGAAACAAAAACAAAGAGTCGCCTACCTTATGAGGTGACACCGCTTTGGTTTTCAATCTCAGACGTTGTCCTCGGTGCTGGCACGGGCGCGAGTGCGTGGCTTCTTGAAAACACTTTCCACGCTGTCGCATCCGTGCCTTTACCAGTGCCGAAGAAAAGTTGCGAGAATATGCTTAACAATGTTAAAACTCAGTGTGCATGAATGAGGACGTGCAATTACAGTAATAAAATTGAAAACAGGATTGAACTAGTTTTATTATATTTAAAACTTGCAAGTAAAACCAAATAAAAACTTCAGGCCACTTTCTAGGGCATGCACCAAAGTGTCAAATGAGGCCACATGCACTTTTTCAGCCATTGTGACGTCTGGATGCCTCCAAGTGCTCGTCTCCATGTATACAAAGTTTGCATACACATAAATGTTTACACATTTCCAAAAAAAGCTTGTATATAAAAAAAAAAGGGAATGGTATAACAGTTTTTGCATCTGGCACGCATGACTTTTTTCAGGACGAAAAAAACAAGCCGACAAGAACTTCAATCCGCCAGTCGGGATTGGTGTGTTGGGGTCAATCTGTTAGCCCCGGTCGGACGTCTGGGGCGTCGGCGAGGAGGTCTTTGTCCACCTTGGGGAAAAAGAAAAAGATGAAAAAAAAAGTGAACGCCGTTTACAACTCCCTGTAACGCCGAATTGGAGCGCAGCTCTTGAGGAGGAGGAGGGAAGGGTACTGAGGGGAGGGTAGACCCTCCTCCTCCTCCTCCTCCTCCTCCCTTCATTGTTTAATATGCTCTGGGGGGGTCACCTGACCTCGGGGGGAGGGGGTCACGTGACCTCGGGGGAGGGGGGGGGGTCACGTGACCTTGAGGTGACCTTGGGAGGGATCACATGACCTTGGGGGGCCACATGACCTGGGCAGTCACGTGACCTTGGGGGTTACGTAACCTTGGTTACGCCGTTGGCGACGGCGACACCGCTCAAGCCGGAAACGGGCGCCTAAGAGCTGTGCTCTAAAAAATTACAGGACACTTGAGACTGCTTACGTGTAGAAATGCAAAAGCATTCCTACATGCAGCATATTCCTACAAGGAGCACGCCCCGCTGTCCCCTCGGTGCGAAGGACAGCAGGTGGCGTGTCTGTTCCTCCATGGCGAGGAGGACAGCGGGCAGCGCACCCCGCTCCTCCGCACCACAACATGACTGAAAGCAGAGTGTAGAACACGTGATACAGTAACGCACAGGGAAAGGGAATTTCCTGCTCCTCCCCCCCTCCCCTCCCCTCCGAGTCTCCGGCCATGCCTGACACGTGACCCGAGAGGGTAGAGAGAGCGACGGCAGCGCGTGCGCCACCCTCTCCCTTTTACCGGCACGCAGGCCGCAGTGCCACGAGAGGGCTTCTCTGTGGGGCGGCATTCCTTGGGACTATGACGCGTCACAACCAATGGGAATTTATATATCATTTTTTTCAGCCAACGGGAAAATGGGAATTCAGCTGCCATCTCGCTCGGCTAATGGGAGAATGGGAATTAATTTGCCGTTTTTCAGGGTTACAGACGCCGCTGGCTGCGCTTAATGGGACAGTTAATGCTCTCAAATTAAATAGAGCTCAGTTTAGGGCACGGTTATGAGATACCCTTTGGGCGAGAATTATGGTGCCTGGCGCACGTCCTCGACCGGTGTGCTTAGCCACGCCCCCCGATTTGCTCCGCACCATCGCGTCGCTTCGTCCGGCCTGTCACTTCCCGGGGAGAACAATACCAACTTCGTTTCTCCCTGGTTTCAGGGAGTCACCGCAAAGTGAGCTGCGCAGCGCGGATGCACGTTGCATGCCTGGAGGCGGGTAAATAGAAGTCCGTGTGGGTATGCGAACGTGTCGCGCTAAAGGCATTTATTATTTTTTTTTATCGAGACGGTGCGTACACGGGCAGGAGAATGTTGGTGGCGCATGGGTCGACGTGTTCTTCTCTATCGCCCCGAGTGGCATGGCGGCAATTTTTGTTGCCGGAGGGGCCACCAAATGTACTACAGGTTTGTTTTGAGCTAGTTGGTACATAATTGACTAGGGTTTTCTCTCACGAATTTCTAATTTGTGATTGTTCAGCTTACCCTACTCAATTATGCCACCAAATGCTTTCACTTTCAAGCCCAAACAGACATGCGGCTGCACGCAGGCATCCCCTCGAATGTGCAAAACATATGTACACACGAGAGCGAGCGCATCCTCAATACGGGTAAAAAGATGCCACATTTGCGTCGTCATAAAGTTTCGGCGTTTGTGTCGTTTTGCAGCATGGTGTGGTTGTGTTCGTAAAAGTATTCCTCCTCCTGATCATTTTATGCAACGTGCCCCACTGAGAGGCAAGGCGGAAATATGCCTAAGAACTGCTCCGTTCCGTCCCGCAACTCCTGCAACTCGGTCCTGCAACAAAGCGTAATAATGCAGCCGTTTCATTTCACGAGATTCCTTCCAAACCTAAACTACAAACAGCCTGGCTGAAGAAAATTTCAAGACATAACATTGCAAAAGGTTGAATGGGTGTCTTTTTCTCGGTCGGTCATTTGTTCACTCCATTTCACTGAAGAAGATTTTAAGCGTGGAGCTAAAAGGAGGATCCTTGTGCCAGCAGCTGTGTCGACGGTGTTTCTGGAGTATTTGTCTTACACTCAACCAGCTGCCGCCTCAAACCGAAGAGTTGATCACGAAGTACCGAGCACTTCCGCTGCAACGCAACCAGTGTTGCCAAGTGAGACTGGTGCTTTTTCTTAGAGAAGGTTATAGGTGACAGTACCGCTCAAACTTCACAGCGAGTCACCGACGATGTGGAGAGGGATCAAGCTGATATCAGCAAACCAAGTATCGAGGCAAACGGTTGTCAGACTGAGTTTGACTTGAATGCCTTCAAGGCTCGCATCAACAATCTGGAGAAGCGTCGACAAATGCAAGCTAAGCATCTCGGCGATAAACTCGCTTTGCTCCAAACAGCCAACAACATCCGAGCACAGTTTAAAAAAAAGTGGAAGCCGTTTACAAATCCCTGTAACGCCGAATTGGAGCGCAGCTCTTGAGGAGGAGGAGTGAAGGGTACTGAGGGGAGGGTAGACCCCTCCCCCTTCTCCTCCTCCTCCCCTCATTCTTTAATATGCTCCGGGGGGGGGGTGTCACGTGACTTCGGGGAGGGGGTCACGTGACCTCGGGGAGGCGTGACCTGGGGGTGACCTCAAGGCCACGTGACCCCAAAGGTGACCCCCACGTGACCTTGGGGGTCACGTGACCTGGAGGGGTCACGTGACCTGGGGGTCACGTGGGGTCACGTGACCTTGATATGACCTTGGAAGGGGTCACGTGACCTCGGGGGTCACGTGACCTTGGGGAGGCGACCACGTGACCTCGGGGGTCACGTGACCTCAGAGGGGTCACGTGACTTGGGGGTCACGTGACCTTCAAAGGGTCACGTGGGGTCATGTTGGGGTCACGTGACCTTGAGATGACCTTGGAAGGGGTCACGTGACCTCGAGGGGTCACGTGACCTTCAGGGGGTCACGTGGGGTCACGTGACCTTGAGATGACCTTGGGAGGGGTCACGTGACCTTGGGGGGTCACGTGACCTTGGGATGACCTTGGTTACGCCGACGCCGACGGCGACGGCGACGGCGACGCCGACGGCGACGCCGCTCAAGCCGGGAACGGGCCCCTAAGAGCTGCGCTCTAAAACTATGAAGGCAAAATCCTCGTTCAGTGTGCCCTGAAGGTTGAACAAGCCGGAACTTTTGAATTTCGAAAAGAAGCATCCATCATGGACTGAGCGCACACTGAGAGACTGTCTTTTGGAAAGCTTGCTTGAGCAAAGGATACAATCACATAAGGGAAAGAGACTTGTTCAAGCTGCCCTGCAGTACTCCTTTCTTATTAAGTGCATTCTCAATGTTTCATTTTGTGAAAAAAAAAAAAAACAGTGAAACTCAAACGTCATTGTCTTGTATAAACGGGGCACATAATTGCAGAGTATGTCCATTACAGCTAAAGCGGCTCTCCTTATGGTTAATTAAGATGAATGAAAAACATGAACAACAGGGTATTGTGGAGGCACAGAGAAGAAACAAATTAGTTCGACTTTAATTTCCCTTTTTGAACCATTTGGAACATCCCTTCGAGTCTGGGTGACGGTTTCAACCCTACCATCTGCGTATGCTCAGCTAAAGGGCGGTTGTATCAATTTTTATGTAGCAAAAAGTCTGATTGCATTGAAATGTACGCTCCGATGCACTTGCAGTCTTACAAAGAGGGACAATAAAGTAAGCAACCAACGAAATCACCACATTTGTTTTCTCCTCTACAGCGTACAGTCAAACCAATTTTATCGAACCCGGTTAATTCAAACTATCCCTTGCATCGAACTATTTCTGAACAGACTAGCAGCTGCAATGAAAATGCGCAACGAAAAATTGCCGTTACATCTCCCGATATATAGAACTGCCAACAGCGCCGTTTTGCTTTCTAAGCCAGCTTCCCCACAAAGAGGGTAGCCGCATTCGGGAAAAGCCGGCTTGCAGAGCAAGCTAGGTTTTTTTTCTTTTATGGAAGAAAAAAAAATTCTCTTTTGCGGAGGGAGCAGGGAAAGGGTGAGCCGGTGAAATCTTAAAAAACGAAGAAGTGGCCACTGAATAGCTGTGTGGCACATCCCTCATGACATACAGACACTCCTTTGCGAGTAAACAAACAACTTTTCTAAACAAGGTGTGCCTCTTTGTTGTCAAATTCATTCAAACTTTTATATTGCATTACCCGCTGTATCAAACTGGAGTTCGATATAAACGGGTTTGACTGTATGTGGCGGTTGGCTAGCAGGCGACACTCATAAAGCCGCGGTCAGACTGCTTATACATGATAAAAAGATTTTAACGCAAGCCACCACAAGATTCGCGCTTCGAATGCCAAATGGCAACGAGTCCAGGGAGAAACTTGGCATGCGGCATCCGAACTACAAATATTGCAGCGACTCGTGTTTGCAGTGTCTTTTGTATGATGCACGAGCGGCATGCCGAAGTCGATTCTGAGATTGTCCTTTTATGGTGACAATTCAATCTAGACGCTCCAAGCATCCCAACAAACCCGGAATCGCGATCGTGCATAGCTTATTTCCTCGTTAAAAGCGTCTTCAAAGATTGCGACGCACCACTTTTGGGAAGAATTTTCTTCAGAGAGAAGTGGTCGACGAAGGGCGCTTGTCAGCGAGTTGCAAGCAATGGCTTCGCCCGCGGTGAAAAAAAAGGAGTCTTATTCGAATGTGCACCTATCATACTTTCTTAGAAACGAGTTATAATGAAATCATTCGGAATCTGCGCGTATCGAAGGGCTTTCATTGGTCCACACAATATAGTCCGCGAAAAAAAAGTGTCCACATGTTTTTCTCTTGTCCTGAGGGCGGTTTTGTAATATAGGACTTGGTAAATGTGAGAACTTACACATTTTAAACCATATAAGACCAAAAACAACCTGTTGTATTTAAATTTTTTCATTTAAGTTTCACCACACTAACTATGTGGCGCCACGAGCTGCCACAGGAATCCCCGTAGCCAGGCGGCACTATTGTTAACCCATCGAGCCCATGCGCCCAGTTGGATTTCTCC